TGATGCATATGTTTTCGCTGGTGATGCATGCATGTTTGACTCCCTAGTAAACCCATTTAACCAACCATCTTACTTACCCGCGAGGCTGAAGTGCTTGTGTCATTGTGGTCGTACGGCTTCATGTACGCATGCTTCACAGTTGATCTGGTCCATTGTAAACTTTTCGCCTTGACCATGAGGAAAGTTACGGCTTTCGGTGCCGTTATTTTGTTTCTGAGCGACTGTTCGGTGCTATCTATTAGTATAACTAGACTCCCCACGCTTTGTTGTGGAAATTACTAAACAATTTTAAATATATATTTTTAACAATTAAGTTAGGAGTAAAAAATTAATAGTAATGAAACATGACTGTTTTTGTTATCCCTTGGGCTGATTTTACAATGTATATCAGTACTTATAGTTAAACAGACAAAATGATACACATGCTTTAATGTGAAATATATTGATAAGTATATATTAAATAATATAAAAATCATAGATAGATTTGTTAAAATATTGTGCAAATAATATGAGGGGTGATAATTAGATATGCTTGCATAGGGTCCTCCTAATACGCGATCGATCGCCCGTGCCGAGGGTCCGCGATCGGGAAATCCCACATGGGTCGCTCTAGGTTTCCTGTTTTCGCGTTCAGAAAACAAGAAAGTACGTGTGTAAACGGGAAACAACGATGTGTAAACGGGGATCCATAAATTTGAAAAAATAAAAAACAACAAGTTAGAAAAAAATTAAAAGAATATATCAAAAAATCTAATACTCTTATTTATTTATGTGCATAGACTATACTTATGTATATAGACTTTATACCGTAAACTTCGCACGTATAAACTTTATGTATAGAAATACTATATATAAAAATATTTGAATTTAAATTCAAATTTGAATCGGGTATATAAACTTTGACTTATAAACTTTGGGTCTTTAAACTTTAGGTGTATAAACTTTAGATGTGTAAACTTTAGGTGTGTAAACTTGAGGTGTACTATATATAAAAAATATTTGAATTCAAATTCAAATTCAAATTTGAATCCGGTATATAAACTTTTAACTTATAAACTTTGGGTCTATAAATTTTAGGTGTATAAACTTTAGATGTGTAAACTTTAGATGTGTAAACTTGAGGTGTACAAACTTTAGGTGTATAAATTTACTAAAATAGAAAAATAATGCGATGCCAAAAACGAAACCACTTGAGAAGGGGGCTGATCACGCGGGATTATGGGAAACGGAAATCGGATGCGGTTGCCAAAAACAAAAACTTCTATCTGATCGCGGTCCGATCCCGCACGCGATCGATCGCTAAATATCCTTTTCGGCTTGCATGTTGATTTGTATAATTAAGGGCCTGTTCACTTTGATTCCATTTTCAACCTTACCAAATTTTGGTAAGTTGCCAAAAAAGTGGCTACATTTAGTTTACTGCCAAATTTTGGTAACTATATAAAAAATCATACTAAAATTTAGGCAAGTTACCAAAATTTTTACAACTATGCCAAAATTTTGGCAATGCCAAAAATTGGTAAGGTTTTTTTAGGCATCAAAGTGAACAGGCCCTAAATAAATTATAGATGATGTTGTATGTTTGCATGAGATTAAATATGTAATTATTGCTAGTGATGATGTGGCATGGTTGCATGTTAAAGATTTAAATTTATTGGGCTATAACTTTATAGAAAGTATAGATCCTATATTAACACTATAAATGATTTTAACCTTTTGTTATTGAGAGTAAATTAATAATTACGAATATAGTGATTATTAGGGTTAAGTTTGTTATTTATGTTTCTTTTTTCTGGCTAGATCGATATGTGATCATCCATTACGCTGCCTTCGCTCATATTTCATCGAAAAAACAAAAAGGAGAACAAAGATTTAGTCACTGCTAAATACACCTAATTTTTAACAATAATATCCCTCCATGTTTCTACTACCCCTACCTGAGGTGGCAATATAATAGATATGAACCCTTCGAACAAATGAGACCAACGATTTAGATTACTTTCTACTACCAGTAGAGAGCACCATAATGTTATTACAAATTACAAATTATTATGGCTTACTAACTTTTATATGGTACATTTTTATACAATTTACTATATATAAGTTTTCCAATACTAGTTTCTTTTCTTTAAGAAACACATTACAAATGCATGGGCTCATAATGCACGCATGCTCACCCTACTCTTATGGAATAACTCTGGAAAATTGTGCCGGTATATCTTGAAATTGATGATATTATCACCATGGACGACTGGCTATCAAATGGATATGTCGCCTGCCACTGAAAAAAATAGCGTAAATGTGAGCACCACTATCAAGTTCCCTCCGTACCACAAAATATAGCAAGTGGATTTGACATAACCTATTACTACAAATTTAAAAATATTTTCAGATTTATAGTGCTGGATTGCTATATTTTGAAGAAAAATATGTTCAGTGTACCATCGAATATTATCACATAATCTGCCATCTTCACGCATCAGTTTTGTTGCGTGTGAAATTGTTTGCATGTACTACTACAGTGTGTAGTAAGCAAGAAGCACTATATATATATATATATATATATATATATATATATATATATATATATATATATATATATATATATATATATATATATATATATATATATATATATATATTGAAAAATACACGCAGGTGACCTGTCAGATAAAACATCCTCTAGCAGAAAACAACGTCTCTCCTTCCATCTTTAATTTTCACTTTCCAGTCAAATAATGTGATCGGAGACGAAAGGCATAAGCATCGCATAATCTGACATTTGGAAAAGTCGAGTAGTCATATTGTTGCTGAGAGGAGGGGTTGGAATATGCCGCTGTCGAGGTAGAACTTCAGATGCAAGCTTGTGGTTTCTGAAGAATCCTGTAAAATCAGGCGATGCAAGATTCCTGACGAGCGACCTAGCTGTAAACAGTCAGTCTTTTTTCTCTGAAAGTTCATTATATTCCTATGCATCCTTCTTGGAAGCAAAATTGAGAATTTTTAGTACTTATCTTCTCTTTTCCCGTAGTGTTTTCTTTTCTCACCAACCCTCATGACTTTTCGATCGAAGTAAAATTCGTCGGGCGACTTTAGATTCTCTCCCGGTAATGTTTGATGTTTCCATCACGTGTAAACCTGACACTGATATATCTACAAAATCTTGAATTCAGTTCCTCAAATCCAATATTCTTTGCATCTTAGAATTTTTATTGCTCCCCCATGTGTCATCACATCGAGATTCTAGGGCATACATCTCACCTGGAAATGTCCCATTTTGATTTCTCAGTTTTGTTGGATTCCAATGATTAAAATATCCTGCTCTGTCAGGTTTAGGTGGCACCTATCGAGTTCTTTAAAATAAAAAAAATCGTGTTTTTTCCTGGAATTATTAATTTGTCTATTAGTAAACGAGAAGAAGAAAAAATATATATATGTACCTACTAATTGAAACAGTTTAATGAAGCGGTGGCCTCACCAAAGATGCAAGTGAGACATTAAGAAATTTATTAGGCATGAGGTGCAATTCCCTTCCACAAGTTCAGCAAGTCTGTCAACTATATACAAACTGGAGTTCATTACACAAGTTGTGCAAAAATACGGACTTCCATTTACCAAATTATGCACTTCATATGTAACAGAAAGAATTAATGGTCCAACATTTAACATTGCTGCTAAAATCTGCTAATAAGAATCAGAGAAGTACACTAGAAGGTTGTCAACATCTGAAAACAACAATTTGAAGGGAAAAGACACTGGTAAAATGCCAACCATCCTTGCTGACTAGTAGCTAGCTCCATGACTGAGATTTGCATAGAAGAATTAAGGGACCCCAAGAATTAAAGAGGTACACTAGAAGATTGTCAACATCTGATAACAGCAACTTGAAGGTTAAAGAGAGTGGTAAAATTAATGCCAAACCATCCATTGCTGACTGGTAGCTCCATGACTCTGAACTTATCTTATGAAAAGCGCCGCATGCAATCAGGAATTAAATAAATCACTGCTAATAGCAACATACTTTTCAGGGTTCATATAGTATATGGACGCCTCTTTGGGGAGATGGATTATTTTTTTGCATATGGTTCGCACATCATTCTCCTGTAGCTTTCTACCATTTGTTTTTCCCCGGCATGTAGCTTTCCATCATGAAGTACACATCCGTGCTTATCCCTTTCTATTATTTTTTACATCCTGTCACACAAATCAGCAGCCAGACAAGTTATCGGAAGAAAGAAATGCTAATAACTACGTGGACACATTTACTGTATTTTAAAGTATAGAAAAGAAAAAGGAAATTAAAGCTCCCATCAGAAAGATCTCAAGACCCATTTGGGAAAATGTACAAAATACTTCGATATCTTTTAGCAGAAAAAGCATAATTAAGTTTTTGCATTTCAAATGAGGCCTTGGTAAAAGAACGGAGAAACACTCGAGAGTCTATTTGATATTAGATTCTTTCCTTATATTCGTGTTTTTTTATTTGACGAAAAATATCCTGACCATATTTCCAGAGGGCTTAAAGAGTTAGCAATGAGGAGTAATGTTCGAAAAAGAAGATTAACTAAACTATATGAAAATTTACTATATCTTTAGATCTCAATGTGAAATTACGATTTTATGAACACATATTCGGGAAAGAGAAAATACCAAGAAATAAAAATCTGCCAAGAAAAAAGGGTCACTTGGATTGGATCTCTCCTTCTATATATACTACCTTTGTTTTGTAGTCTTTAACTTTTACATGTGCTAATTTTCAACTTGACAGTTGATGATGGATACATCCTTGTACGTTTATCTCAACAAGGCAGCGTATTTCTGGGTGACTTTTTGACTACACATGATACAACATCGGCTTCAAACCTAAACCTGTACACGTAATCCCCTGTCCAGTGCTAAATAAGTCCAACAAAAAAGTTAAGCAGAAAAGCAGCTGGTTTGGGGTCTGAAAGGCACAATATCACACTGATTAAAAGGCACAACCACGTATCAACCAAACCAAAACCCGCTCCGGTATACCACCCCCCACGCGTCCAACACCCCCTCTCGTCCGCACGCAATTTCTAGCCACGGCCGCGTCGGCTACTCCGCTCGTCTCGTCTCGTCTCTCTGCTCTGCTCGTCGACTGCCACCACCAGTCCACCACCACCTTCGGCTGATACAAGAAGCGAGGGGGAGGTAGGAGAGAAGCCCACCACAGGGTGACCCCATCGGCCATCGCGACATCTTCTTCTTCTTGCTCGCTTGGTTGGTTGCTAACTTGCTCGCTCTCTCCGCCCAAAAAAAAAAAGTTTCTCTCCTTTGCTTGTCGTGGCGTTCTTGGATACAGACAGCGAGGAAAGTCGCCCATTTTCGTACTAGGAGTAATACAGGTTAAGAGGAGGCAAAGCGGAGGAGGAAGCTACTGGAAGTGTAGTAGAAGAGGAGAGGGAGGGAGAGGAGTGTGTAGTGTGCCTGCCTCTCGCAAGCGGCCAAGCGCGATAGATTGGTATAGACAGATAAATCCTGCAACTGCGATACGATTCCGTCACCGAATCCCTTGTTTCCTTGCAGCAATTTGACGCCGCGAGGGCGGGTGGTTTCGTGGCCATGGCGGTCTCCGGTGCGGCGCATTGAGCCCAGCGTGCGAGGGGGCATGGATCTGGAGGCCGCGCATGGCGCGGCTGCGGCGCCAGGGAAGGTGAGCTCCTCGCTGGGGTTGTTCGACGCCGTCGCGCGGAAGATTTGAGCCTCTTCTCCTCGGGTTTCATGGTTTTTTCCTGACTGGTTGTTGCTTGAGTTGTTGGGCGGCAGCAGAGGAGGAGGAGGGCGAGGGAGTCATGGGGAGCGTCGCTGCTGCTCGCGTACCAGAGCCTCGGGGTGGTGTACGGCGACGTGGCCACGTCGCCGCTGTACGTGTACAAGAGCGCCTTCGCCGGCGACGACATCCAGCACTCGGCGGGGAACGAGGAGATCTACGGCGTGCTGTCCTTCGTGTTCTGGACGCTGACCCTCATCTCGCTCGTCAAGTACGTGCTCATCGTGCTCCGCGCCGACGACGGCGGCGAGGGCGGCACGTTCGCGCTCTACTCCCTCATCTGCCGCCACGTCCGCGCGGGCCTGCTTCCCGGCGGCGCCGGCGACGAGCTCGCCGTGGGAGGGCGTCGTGACGCCCGGGCCATGTCGAGGCTGAGGGCGATGCTGGAGAGGTACAGGGTGCTGCAGAGGCTGCTGCTCCTGTTCGCGCTGCTCGGGACGTGTATGGTCATCGGGGACGGCGTGCTCACCCCTGCGGTCTCTGGTTTGACCTCTCCCATCTTGGTTTTGGGATGCTTGGTTGCTTTGGCATTCTACTATTGATGCTGTGAAAAAATTGTGATGATGCTAAATTGCTAATTATTGTGCTTTGATGCTGCCTTTTCAGTGTACTCTGCGGTCTCTGGGCTTGAGTTGTCAATGGAGCATGAGCATCACAAATGTAGGTTAATTGTTTCTTTTAATTTGATATCTATTGATCACTGGGAGTAGAAATTGCTGATTCTGGTCAATTTAGGAGTTGACGACTATTTGGTATATATGGCTGGTATTTGTTATGTTTTGTTCACATCCATACATACGAGATGCTTACTGTTCCAATGATGTAAATGTGCAGACGTACAACTTCCTGTGACGTGTGCCATACTTATAGGCTTGTTTGCGCTGCAACACTATGGTACACACAGAGTTGGATTTATCTTTGCCCCAATTGTCTGCGTCTGGCTTCTCTGCATAAGTGCTATAGGGGTTTACAACATTGTTCACTGGAACCACCATGTGTACCGAGCCCTCTCACCATACTACATGTATCAGTTTCTCAAGAAGACCCAAACAGGTGGTTGGATGTCACTGGGTGGAATTCTTCTATGTGTAACAGGTATGCATAAGCTAGACTGTTGCCTACTCTTTGACTTTTTGACTTTGGTTGAATGATGATGGCAGAGAACTTAATTTCTTTTTCATTGTTATAACTTCTAGGTTCGGAAGCTATGTATGCAGATCTTGGACATTTCTCACAATCGTCAATTAAGGTATTAGATTTGAGATGAACATGTTACGATATACTCCCTCCATCCCACAAAAAAACCAACCATCCCCTCCTAGTGCAACGAATCTGGACAAAAGGGGTTACATTCCCTTCTAGGTTGGTTTTTTATGAGACAGAGGGAGTATAATACAGTGACTAAAATAGTAGACTACATGGTTTACTGTGATTTCCCTGCTGTCTAATCTTTCATTTCTTGCCATTTTATTTAGGAGTAGTAATCATTATAAAACTATATTGACCTCTTGAATAAAATAATCTCTATAGAAAAGTTAAATATTAAATGCGAATGACACCACTGATTATCTTCGTTCAAAAGCTCAACTGATTAACCTGATTAAAGGCATATCTAAGTCATTTTTTTTATGTATTTTTCTTCTGTTGCAAGGTACTCAATGTGTACTTTTCCTAGATTTAGGAGACAAGAAAAATAAACCAAGTCACTTTATCATTGTTTTGTTTCTTCCAATTGATTACTAACTATAGTCTGTGAGTCGGTGAACTCCTCATTCCTATATTTCACAATGTTCCTTCCTTTAACTCCATGGTCTTTATATCTTGACATGTGCTTGTCATTCTTGAACTAAATCATTGATTATCTTCAGTTTCTTATGTTATCTCTGCTTCCAACAGATTGCGTTCATGTCTGTGGTTTATCCAGCTCTAGTTCTTGCTTACATGGGGCAGGCTGCTTATATCTCACAACACCACAGCTTTGAGAATGCTTATCATATTGGATTCTATGTGTCAGTACCAGGTACTCTCTTGGATTAGGCTTTTGTTGTTTGTAACATTCACAATAAAGTAATTGACAAGCATAGCAACTGCATATTCTGAGCATTGATTCATGCAACTTTGTCTTCAGAAAAACTTAGATGGCCTGTTCTGGTGATTGCTATACTAGCAGCTGTGGTTGGGAGCCAAGCAGTCATTACTGGCACCTTTTCAATTATCAAGCAGTGCTCTTCATTAAGTTGCTTCCCTGGCGTGAAAATTGTGCACACATCATCTACAGTACACGGTCAGATATACATACCTGAAATCAATTGGATCCTGATGATACTCTGCCTGGCTGTTACTCTTGGCTTCAGAAACACGAAACATTTGGCAAATGCACAAGGTAAGACAAGCTATACATATAGCTATTTCTAACGCGCATTGAGAAGCATCTAGTGCTTGTTCTCACTGTTTGTCCTGAACTTTCTTGATACAGGTCTGGCAGTTATAACTGTTATGCTTGTTACCACTTGTTTAATGTCACTGGTCATTGTGCTTTGCTGGAACAAAAGTATCTTCCTTGCGCTCGGTTTCCTGATTTTCTTTGGCACAATCGAAGTACTCTACTTCTCAGCTTCCCTTGTCAAGTTTCATGAAGGCGCATGGGTCCCAATTACCCTCTCCTTTATATTTATGATAGTCATGTGCGTGTGGCATTATGGCACTATAAAGAAGTATGAGTTCGATTTCCAAAACAAGGTTTCAGTAAACTGGCTCTTGAACCTTGGTCCTTCATTGGGGATTGTCCGTGTTCGAGGCATTGGACTGATACATACAGAACTGGTATCTGGAATTCCAGCCATCTTCTCCCACTTCGTCACTAATCTGCCTGCATTTCACCAGGTTGATCATCATAAATTCATAACTTTTCTTTTCACTCGACTATTTAACTTCTAGGGTCCTTACAAAATTGAATTTCCCATCAGGTACTGGTTTTTCTGTGTGTTAAATCAGTTCCAGTGCCACATGTTCAACCTGAAGAACGGTTTCTAGTGGGTCGCATTGGTCCAAAAGAGTACAGGCTATACAGGGTCATCGTGAGGTATGGGTACCGTGATGTGCAGAAGGATGACATAGAGTTTGAAAAGGACCTAGTCAGCAGCATTGCAGAGTTCATCCGCAGTGGGGATTCTCACCACAACGGTGTTTTGGAGGACACAGACAAGTCGTGTGAGAAACTGTCTTCCATCAGTAATGGTATTCCATTGTGGATGGAGGATGGAGAGGTCGATGCTTCAGCATCCCCTCATAAGGAGACAGATACACAGATCATATCACCAAACCGAAAGAAAGCAAGGTTCGTGCTGCCAAAGAATGCCCAGGTGGACAGCGAAGTGCGCCGTGAGCTGCAGGAGCTCATGGATGCAAGGGAGGCTGGAATGTCCTTCATCTTAGGACACTCCTACATGAAGGCGAAGAGCGGGTCTAGTTTCATAAAGCGAATCGTGATAAACTTCTTCTACGAGTTCTTGAGGAGAAACAGCCGCGGACCATCTTATGCTGCTACCATACCTCATGCCTCCACACTGGAGGTGGGAATGGTCTACCAAGTCTGATAGTAGCAGCAGCTGTATAAAGCTAGAGATGAGATCTCCATCTGTACATATCACTTCATGCCGACACCGCTAACCTGAAGGTGGCAGTTGATGTTGGAGCACCTCATGGCCAGCCAGCCAGTTGCAAATCTTGGGAGAGCCAACAGGGAGTGTGCATTTTTGTCTGTAAAGCCTTCTGTTGAGCTGCTCCGTGTTGTTTTTTCCCTTGTGAAGAAACCTTTCGCTGTTGTGGATACCACTGCGAAACTGGGGAAGTGTAAGTCTGTAAGAGTGACCAGCAAATGATAGCATTTTTGTTGCTTTAGCAACTTGGTAACTTGTCTAAAATGGCAGTGCATCGCCAAAGGGAAGCCTTGCGTGTCCTCAGATTTAGCAGTAGCTTCGTTTTTCCTGTGTCTTGGGCCAAGCCCAACAGGGCCGACGGGAAATCGAAATATGCAGTTATAGCCGTCTGTCCTCTTTTGTGAGGATTGCTGGATTACAAACTTGTGCGCATTAGAAAATCCCAACAAAAATGTAAATTACAAGTTAAAGCACACGTTCTCCTCACTGTCAATCCGCCACATGTATATAAATTTTAAAACGGACATGCTATATTTATGGCGACACAAAATTAGCTTATCATGGCGACACAAAATTAGCTTATCAAAGTCGGTTAATCTATCCCTTGGATATCATGTAGATTCGTGTTGCACTATCGATGCTTGATTTAACGAACGTTTGATTTGCTAAGTCTGTAGTTATTCGATCTCTCTGTACTACGAACCTGTTGCTCTTATTATACATTAGTTTCCATTGAATTTGCACTAGCATCTCTTCTATTTATATCTATTTACATATGTAATTTTAGAACTTACATTATAAATACACTAAAATTACATATGTAATTAGAGTCTTAAAATGTAAATGCATACCAACTTTTTTTTTAAAAAATATAGCGTCATAAATATAGCTACTCCCTTTTCGAACAGAATTTTCCAAAATTGAGTAAATATACATACTACCACTGTGTCTCAGAATAATCCGTTTGAGAATAAGTTAATTTACTTCGTTTCAGAATAAATTAATCTAGTATAGGATATAATATATTATATTAATACGAATTTAAACAAATGCAATAAGTTAGTCAGTACGGGACAGTCTCAGTCTAGTTTCGTAGTACTAAATATATCACATCATATACTAGATTAACTTATTTTGGAACGAAGAGATTACTTCACGGTGCATACATTAGGCCTTGTTTAGTTCCAAACTTTTTATTTAAACTTCCAACTTTTCTATCAGATCAAAACTTTCATATTCACACAAACTTCTAACTTTTTCATTACATCGTTCCAATTTCAACTAAACATCCAATTTTAACGTGAACTAGATACACCCTTAATCTGTGCATACTTTCATATCCTCGGAGTATATGCTGAAGGATTCCAGACAGAAGGGTCCGATAATCTGGTTGCTGGCCCCTCCAACAAACTGCGCGCAAATCGAGGCGCCAATCATCTCTAGCTCATGCCTTGTGGGCTCTATTATATATCTCTCTGCGGCCCACTTTTGGCCCTTAGCTTACAGCAGCCTCCTGTTCATTCAGCCCCTTGGGCCCCGTTGCTGCACAGCTTCTCTGCTCACCTCTTCTCGTCGTCGCCAATTTGCTACTGCTACTTCTTAAAGATTCGCTCCTAAAACTTGCATAGCTTCTACTAGTTTGTTTCCACGGTACATCTTTGTACTGGCTACACAAGATTATTTAAAAACAGTGTCCTTATTCCTTAGAACTGTAAAAACAAACCACTAACTTAAAAAATATTTTTATTATTCTTTCCTTTTTCCAATCTCATGCGACCAACCTTTCATTTTGTGGAGGCTATGAGTTATTATTAATATGTTGTTAACCACAACAATGATATTTGCACGGGGATATTTGGTTGCTTACTAACTTTGTCAAACCACACCTTAGACGAAGTGTGGCTGCCACAGATGGGGCCAAAGTTAGCTCGAAATATAAGTTTATGACATAAGGGACCACATAGAGAAAAAATGTGGCTAGTCACAATTGTGTCATCAACTAAATAAGTAGTTTAAAAAATGTAGCGCGACTAACTTGCAAGTTTGTGGCAAGCAACCAAACATCCCCGTGACCTCTCCTATTTTCTTTTTCTTATGTTAGTAAATATTTCTAATTCGTAAGGCTATATTGATGATCATTATATATGCCCTAAACAACATTGCCTTACTATAAAAACGACATTACCCAATTTCCTCAATACTATAAAAACGAAATTGTCGTTCAGGCAATGTCGTCAATTTCCCCAATCTCATGCAGTGGACCTAAACGACATTGCCTGGAAGAACCGACATGTACGAGATTTGGAATAAAAACGTTCGAATTTACGAAAAGCTTGCATCTGGTACACTGGTACAGGTAACGTTACAGTAACTCTTGGAGTGAACCAACTTGACTAGTCTTGGATACCATGGCAACGTGGTCTTTCCCTTTCTCCAGATTTTGCCTCCACAATGGCCAAAGAGTACTCGCATTGCATCGAGAGTGAATGAATGAATGCCCCTTTTGATATTTGTTTCAGCGTTTCACCCTTTCCAGGCTCAGCTAAGGCCCATTTTAGTTCCCAGAAAGTTTTTCCCAAAAACATCACATCGAATCTTTGGACATATGCATAGAGCATTAAATGTAGAATAAAATAAAAACTAATTGCATAGTTAGGGAAGAAATCACGAGACGAATCTTTTGAGTTTAATTAGTCCATAATTAGCCATAAATGCTACAGTAAAGCACATGTGTTAATGGCAGATTAATTAGGCTCAAAAGATTCGTCTCGCGGTTTCCAGGCGAGTTATGAAATTAGTTTTTTCATTCATGTTAGAAATCCTCTTCCGATATCCAGTCAAAAATCTGATGTGACATAAAAAATTTTATTTCGTGAACAAAACAGGCCCTAAACTGCCTCGTTGCGACGGCGAAGACGACACAGGAAAAGGCAGCGTCGCAGGCGTTTTTTCCGGCGACGTGAACCCCATCCCTCGCATCGTCACATGGCACGCACCTCCTCACCAAATTCACCATGCGCGCGAGAAAGGGAATAAACGGAAAGCCTGAAAGGACGGCAAAGCGAAGGCGACGGATCAGGTCCGTGTTGGACCGAGCGTGTGTGCGTGATGGTCGCCATGAACGAGACGACGTGAGAGGGATTGGGGAAGAAACCTCGTAAGTTCGTACAGATCTCATCGTGTCACGGACTCGCGGTTCGAGCAAGGTAGGAGTACTAGTACCAGTTGCTGCTAGCTCATGTGTACCCGGTGCATCTGGAACATTCGAGAAGGAACCAATCTACACATAGTACTACGTTTCTGCAGTGATAGCAGCAGTACTCCAGTACTAGGAGTACTTGAGTTTCTCATCAAGAATCAAAGCACGAGGTGAAGTGAAGAGAGATTTTTTTTTCCTCCTCTCTCTTTGATGCAGTGGGGAACCAGTGCAGGCAGCTGTGCAGAGGCAGCACGGCAGTGGTGGCCCAAGAACTAGTGTGTGGCACTACACTACTAGCAGGAACATGGCCGGGAACAGGGAGGCCTTGAGGCGTGTGAACGGTTGGCAAAAGATGGGCAGCTAAGCAAGCACACAGGCGCAAGCCGGCAAGCGTGGAAAATACCCCGGGCTTTTCCCCCGTTCTTTTTTTTTTTTTCCCCTCGCCACTTGCTCCGACAAACAAAACCGTGCAGTATCAAAGCAAATTGCTGCTACTATAGGTGTTTTGTACTGGAAATTGTTGCAGTGTCTCCCATCAGATTTCCAGGGTCTGGAAACAGTATGGGTCTGATGAGGACAGCGAATGGTTAGTGAGCTAGTCCACTCCTCATGATTCAAATGCCTACTTCTGTATGGAGAGACATTCAGACATGCCATGTCCATTTTCTCCTTTTTTTTTCTTTTTTTTAACAGGAGAGTAGGGCTCCCCCATTTTAATTAACAGAAATGTAAAGATTACATGACAATTTTCTCATGTTGCTTAGTACTCCATCCGTTCCATAATATAAGGGATTTTAAGTTTTTGTTTGCAACGTTTGACCACTCATCTTATTCAAATTTTTTTTGAAATTATTATAGTACTTGCTTACCAGCCTCCTTGTTTGCTGCCAAGATTTCAATTTTGAAACTTAATTTTAAAATTAATTTTAGGATATTTTTAACATGTATCTAAAAGTTTTACTGTTATTCGTTTTGGCTTATAACCAGTTAATGGCCAACCGATGGGATCCATTCTACTTCTACACATATGCACATTTCTGTAGCTGGCAAAAAGATCCGCATGACATAACACTCCTCAAGCTCTCAAGAAAAAAAAAAGACATAACACTCCTCAATGCTCGGGAATGAGATGCGCACTCCCATTTGAAGCTATGGATTGCACACAGCATTCATTTAGCAATCACCTTTTATTAAATGAAAAGCCGTTTTTCAGGTTCCACTAATGATAAAGGTGGTCTAAAAAAATAGAGATGATACTAGCGGAGCTCACTACTTACTATTAGTCAATGTTAAAACTAACATGTATAGTAGATTGGCTATAAGTTTATCCTTATTTTCTTCATCCTCTCTCTTTCTCTCACCATGAATTTAATGCATATTTCTTAGAGTTTGTGTACAGTTAGCTCTTGTATGAGAGCCAATACTCTTCACTTTTATTTATCTCTTTCTTTTACATAAGCATATAGCATATAGCTTACTTATAACCCTATCCTTGCTCTTAGACGGAATGTCCAATGCACCTCACCTCACCACCTGCTGCACCGCTGCACGTGACCCTCCTCTCCATGAGAGTTTTCACGCTTCTCTCTCGCCTAAACCCCCCAAATTTCGTATAGTAGCAAGAAGGCGAGTGGAGATAGATAGAAGCAGCAGCGAACACCACCGCGCTTGTCTCTTTCTCCGCGCCTCCTCCCCTTTTGATCTCCCCCTCTCTCTCCCCCTCATCCTCTGCTCAAGAAAAGCTCGGATTCTTGGCGGTTTCCCCCACCATTTCCCCCTCCTCGATCTGGGCCTCCTCCCCGCAAGCGTGCGCCTCGCATTCCCACCGAGCGTGCCTACGTGCTGCGCTTTGCTGTGCTGCGGGAGGATGGAGGGTGGGGGGAGAGGCGGCGGCCCCGTGGTGGCGGCGCTGCTGCTGGCCGCGCTCCTCCTCGCCGCCGTCGCTCCGGCCTCCGCGTCGTCGTACCCCGCAAGTGAGTGACCACGCCTGCAGCCTCCCCGGGTTCGTTGGCTTCTTCGCTCCTTTGCTGATGGATGTGTGTGTGTGTGTGTGTGTTTTTTTGGGGGGTTTTGCCATTGCAGAGGTGGTGAGTGGGTTCCTCTCCAACGCGGCGTCGTCGGTGATGAAGCGGCTGTGGTCGCTCAAATCCACCACGAAGACAGGTGATTGCTGGAATCTTTCTCGTGCTCGTGGCGTTTCTCCCCCTGGGTTTTGGTTGTTTGAAGCAATTTTTCGCTCTCTGATTGCGATGGAGCAGGAAGCGGAGGGAAGTCGATGGTGAAGTACGAGGGCGGGTACACCGTGGAGACGGTCTTCGACGGGAGCAAGCTGGGGATCGAGCCCTACGCGGTGGAGGTCACCCAGGGCGGCGAGCTGCTCGTCATGGACTCCATGAACAGCAACATCTACAGGATCGCCCTGCCGCTGTCTCGATGTGAGTGAGCCCCTATCTTCGCTGCCTTCCTAAATTCGGCTGGTGGCAATGCTAGTGCCCAGTGGGATTCTCGCGTTCTGCCAATTAGATGCTTGTCTAGTGTTTGGTAGGGGTGATGCTGATGTTGCGGGTTGGTTGGTGGTCATGAATTTTGGTCTGCCTTGGTCTATCGCTTGATTGCGATGTGTTTGTTAGCTTTCAGTTTGCGATTGCGATACTTTTTTAAGTGCCTTTTGGTTGGTTTATTTGTCTTGATTACCCACAATTTATGTTCAGCCAACATTTTACTATATTGTAGAAGTGGCGCAATCTGGTTGAGACAACCCTTTCAATAGCCTCATCAAGATGGCGGCGGCGCTATTGTATTCTAGCATTAGAATGACAACCCTGAGACGTTGATACTTGAAAGCCTGACTTTCATTAAACATTGATTAAACATTGCGCTTTATGGCTTACACCTAGGACGATATCATGTGTGCATCTTCTGAGGCAATGAAATGGAAAATCATGTTTCACGTAGCAGCAAATTATTTTCAGCTACACTGAATTTCATCCGATCTTCGCATGTTTCACATAGCAGCAGATTATTTCAGCTACACTGAATTTCATCCAATCTTCTGAAAATGGACCAAACAATGCAGATAGCAGACCAAAGCTTGTAGCTGGTTCTCCGGAAGGATTTCCTGGTCATGTTGATGGAAGGCCTCGAGAGGCCAGGATGAACCATCCAAAGGGATTTACGGTGGACGGCAGGGGTAACATTTATGTGGCTGATGCTATGAACATGGCTATTAGAAAGATCAGTGACACAGGTAAGCTAAAATGTCCTGTGGTGGGGGTATTTGCACATGGTTTTGTCTGTTCCCTAAGCATCCTATGTCTGCCTTTTGGTTTTTGCTGGGCCTGTCCAACATGTATTTAGCACTTGCATCCAAAGTAACAGATGAGAAGAGTAAACCAGCCAGGCAATATGAAGATAATATATTTAGTTTGAGGAAAGCAAATCTGCTTAGACCATTATCTCTGGAAAACTGCAAGGCATAAATCTTAATTTTGTTCAAAGCATTTATTTCTTTCCAAACTTATACTCAGGAAAAAGATCCTGACAACATTTGCTGATACATAGACTTGATGTTAACTGAGTTTGATTTCTTGGTAAAATTAGAAAGGCATGCTGCCATCATCATGCACATGTTTGTCTAATTTGTAGTAAACGGGAAGGTCTTGACTTGGAAGTGTTCTGACATTTAGGGGTTACAACTATTGCTGGGGGGAAATCAAGCAGAGGAGGGCATGTTGATGGACCAAGTGATGATGCAAAATTTTCTACTGATTTTGAAGTCCGCTATATTGGCAGTAGCTGCTCCCTTTTGGTGATTGACAGAGGAAACCAAGCGATTCGGGAGATTCAACTCAACTTCGATGACTGTGTATATCAGTATGAAGCTGGTTTTCCTCTAGGTATATCTTCATATCATACCCTGTTCTTGTTTCTATAGACTATTATTACTTGACCCATAAAACCTGATGTTGAAGCATTCAATCTGAGTAGATGTTTAAATTTAGTTTGTATCTGAGGGAATGTTGACCTGTACAATACTTGCAAGTTGCAAATAACTAATTACATGTATTTTGTATACTGACAGGAGTTGCGGTGCTTCTTGCTGCTGCGTTCTTTGGCTACATGCTCGCGTTGCTCCAACGCAGGGTATTAGGGATGGTGTCAACAGAAGATGTAAGTACTAAGTCTCAACATGACAGAATTTAATTGGTAGATTGTCAGAGTTAGATAATAAGGCAAGGGTTAAAGTGGACCACAGACCTGCTGTAACCGAGCAGGCCAGCACATGAATATGTTGCCATCAGTCTTTTGTTACTCCTGGTACTAATGTCCATCAGACCATCACCCACTGGCCCCAGTCTGCTTCCTGCTTCCTTACTATGTCCACACCTACCCCGATTTTACCGTCTCATGTGAAAACACACTGATTGAGTGTTCTTAGTGGAATTGGTGGGTAAATGCTAGCAGTAGAAGTTTTGGAGTATAGTTGCTAATTCCGGTTAACATTACACAGAACAGAAACTTCTACATATCTAGACTAGCTGTAAAATTACAGCTACTACTTGTTTAGTGATTTGCTCATTGTGATAGTTGTATAACACACACACACACACGCCCCCTAAAAAAACCCTAGTAATTCTTTATTTTTGTGCTAGCTTTCTCATGGTGCTAGGCTTGACAAGATTAGTACTTGTCCGCATACACTATCTCATGTGTTCTTGCAGACAACTGGAGCTACATTGTTTTGAATTCAATTTTTACCACGCAGGAACCTGAGACTCAGACTCCACTAAAAGCTAGCATTGCAAGCATCCCTCCATACCAGAAGCCGCTAAAACAATCTGTCCGTCCACCGTTAATCCCAAATGAGGATGAATCTGAGAAACAAGAGGTTGAAGAGGGGTTCTTTACCTCAATCGGTAAACTCATCGTGGGAGCCAAATCGTCTGTTGCAGAGATAGTTGGTGCAGCCTTTTCTAGAAAGAAGCGTTTAAACATTCATCAGCAGCAGGCTAGAGTACGCTCTTGGCCGGTTCAAGAAAGCTACGCCATCCCGCGGGATGAGACGCCTCCACCACTGGATACAAGAACTCCAACCCCACGCAAGAACTATGCTTTCATGTCAAAGGAGCCCGAAAAGATCCACCACATCCGGCATGGTCGGTCTCAGTTCAATGGTTGGAACGGAGACGCACCTCAGCAGCAGCAGCAACAGCAGCAGCAGCAGCAAATACATCACCAGCAGTACTTACAGCATCATAGGCAGTATTCATCAGGACCGCAAACTTTCTATGAGCCAAGCTGTGAGGCAACAAACGAGATTGTCTTTGGAGCCGTGCAGGAGGTAGACAGCAAGCGCCGCGCTGTGGAGATCAAACCCATGAACCATGGCGATCCGCAGTATGACCAAGATGGGTTGCGGCACCGCAGCAGCTACACCGGTTACAGCAACAACTGGTAGATGGCCAGATGTCCTTTTTTGCAGCTACATGATTAGATTTACTGCTCGTTAAGTTATTTTGCCGTCGTCGAATTTGTACTGCCTGAAACAGATAAATAGAAATTCAGGAAGTACCGGTGATATGGGCAAAGTCGAAAGCTGGTTTTTGCTGGATGAACGTCGTGATCTTAGACCTCTACTGATATATATATCTATGTAAATGGAATGTGTTTTTCGCGTCTGAATCTTTTCGCCCGACTGCCTGAACCTGTTCAATTGTTCGTTCTGGAGGCATTGTGACCCATTTTCGTTGATGAACGCCGAACGTTGGTCGTTATGCATCGTCATTCTCCGGTCGCGACTCGCGACTGCCTCAGCGTCTGGAGTCCCCGGTAGATCACTGCGATACATCCATGGCTCCATACACTACACACCCGTTACTGTGCGCGGTGTGCCCTCCTGCCCAGCCGTGCCATTGCGCCATTCCCTGCATGAGCGGGCTAAACTGAGTTTGATATGATTCTGAAAGCGAGGGGAGTGGAAACTGGAAAAGTGTCCCTCGTTACTTCATCTACCAGCACGGCCGGGCACTACATGTAATCGAATGGCCCGATACGAAGGTGCAAGTGTTCTCCATGGACTGAAATATGGACCGGGAAGCACATGTGTTCTAGTAGTATTCTACACAGAGAAAGAAACGTACGGAGTACATTTGTATAACAGCTGTGCTGCATATGATCAGGACTCCAGGAGACACGGCACACTCACAGACCAAGCAATACATTGGTACTTTTACTCTGAAATCCAGGTACAGCATACCTGAAACAGTGGGCTCATAAATGAAAAGAGGGAGATACAGCAACCGACAATCTAGCTCAGCTCCACCAGCTAATGCATCCATCATATTGCATGAATTTCCCACATTACAATGGTATCACAATCTAATTTTGTCGCAATTTGAAGGTTGTCTCAACCTTTAGCTCCCAATAATCAGTCATCTCTTCCTCATGGTAAACTGAGTGAGAGTAGCAGCAGTAAAAACTCATTTCCGCCTATCCTTGGCTCTTTTGAGTGTTTTCTTGCCCTTGTTCCTCCACTTCTGGCTGCCTCCTGGAGTGCGGCTCTCCTGAATTTCCCTTACTTTGCGCATCCTGCATTGCAGTACCCGATGTCAGAAAAGGGAACATAAGTATTTGCTATCAGGCAATTCTAACATCAATTCTCAGGCAGTCCTAACAAGAAATCTGATTATAGTTTACAGTATAATCATGTTTTGGTATGAGATAAAAATACGGTGAGCTTACCTGTAGTTCTTAAGATGTTGATCAGATAAGAGCTCATCAACCAATGTTGTTTTGCGCTCCCTCTTTGTCAGCCTACTTGAGAAGAACTCAGATGCAGGCTCAATAACTGTACCAACCTATACCATTACAGAAATTTTCATCATATAAGTTGATTATGAGCAGCCATAAGCTGACATATGACCTAAAAAATGCTGCCCAGTATGACTACTTACTTGGAAGTATTTCGGAAGGGCCTTGGATTTTCCTGCCCTCTTGAAGTGTCTTTTTGGGTCCATTACATGTCTCAGCTGCAAGATGGATGGAAAAAGAGAAACAGGTCAATTACAATATAGCACAAGCGCAGAGCCAACTTTATACTGCAGTGTGTTACTTTGATCTCAACTCTCAAATAAAACAGTTCATCAGATGGAAATATTATCACATTACTCTCCAAAGAAGGTGTAGAACATGGATCCTAGTTCTCTTAAACTACAGACTAGTAGTTAATGTTTTTCACATTCTACTGATTCAAGAAAGGAAAATTCTTATATTCTTCTTAAGGAACTATTATGAAAGTCTTTTAGAAAGGTGAATTATCTAAAGTTTAAGAAAAGTACAGAACAAACACACAAGGACAAGATGCCAATTATGTACAGTTGCGCTGTTGAATGATGCTGTCAGTTGCTCTACCACGGTTAAATTCTCAATTTTTCAGCTATATATATTCCTTCCCACAGAATCGATGTTAGTAACTCCATACCTGCAAAATCTCAAGATCTTTCTTCAACTCAGGAGTGATGGTGGGAGCCGGCATGTCGAACCTGTAAACCCAAAGCAGCAGATCATAAGAACTCATATAAGCTTTCGTCCCTTGTATTGCTGGTAATCAAGAAACCCGGACACATTCAAAGTGCGAGCAACTCACCAGCCCTTGCCGGAGGTGTCCTTGACGTTCTTCCTGGCCAGCTTGTTGGCCTTCCTCGGGTCCCTCGGTGGCACGAAGAGCCCGTCGACGAGCTCGCTCGCGGGCTTCCAGAGCGACCCCTGCGCTCTGCTAGAGCTGGCTCCCGTGTCCTTCTTCCCGCCGCTGGTCGTCGGCAGGGAGGGCAGCTTGGGCGCCCACGACAGGCCAATCGGCGCCGCCTCCGCCATCGCTCCCGTCCTTCACCTCAACTCAGATACCTATCCCAACTCCTGCCTCAACGTTGCTCGAGTACGCGCCGGCGGTGGCGGTGGCGGTGGCGGTGGAGAGAGAGGAAAGCGGCGAGGCGGCGGCGGCGTGAGAGGGAGTCTGCAATGGCGAAGGGAGTAGGGCTAACCGAGAAGGAACTAGGAAGAAGTAGAGGAGCTTGGGCCGTTGGACTGGGGCCCTCGAAAGAAATTTCATGGGCCTCATTGGGTTGAACTTTCAACGGACTGGGCCGGTGTGAACTACGTACGTGGCTACGGACCTGTTTGGAGAGTTTCCAGCAGCCGTAGCTTCTCACATAATTAGAAGTTCTACTAAACATTTCCGGCACAGTTTCTCTCATAATAAAAAACTTTACCAGTCTAGCTTTTTATCTAAATTATGAGAAGATATAGTTATAAAATCCAAAAAAACAAACTATAAGTTAGATTCCGAGAAGATGTAGTTATAGAATAAAAAAAATAAACTAAAAGTTTAGAAGTGGTTTCTATAGATTCTGAAAAGTTAGCTACCAATCTACTGTTTTTTAGAATTTTAAGCTCCGCTCGACGTCGCCGGCCGCGGCGGCAGCAGGCAGCCTACGCGTCGCTCTCGTCGTCGTCGTCGTCGTCGTCGAGCAGCCGAATAATTCCGGCGCCGCGCTGTGACGTTCCCCCGTGTGTGGCCAGACGACACCGTCGCGTCTCGGCGTCACGCAAAAACGGAAGCCGCGAACGCGAGTGCAAAAGATTTCTCTGGAGCGGCGCAGCGAGCGAGCGAGCGAGCAAGAGGCGAGAGCGCGCGAAAGAGACCGTGCGCGTGCGGTGCGTCCCCGGAACGGACGGACGAACGGGTGGGATCAGGAGAGAGAGAGAGAAAGCGCGCGAACGACACGAACCAAGGAATCCGAGTCGCAAAGCAACGAGCTCCCAAATTAAATTGAGCCCCGAGGTGAGCGGGGTGCGGTGGTCCGAACTCCCGGCGTACGTCCTTCCTATCCTACGCGCGCGCGCGTCGTTGCATGCAGCAGGCAGCCACGCTCGTCGTCGTGACGACGCAGGGTCGCGCCGCCGCGGCGCCATGGGGACGCTGCCGGTCACCATGCCGCCTCCGCAGTCGCCGGAGCTGCGGTCGCTGCGGTCGACGCTGGACCAGCGCGGCGAGCTGAGGGCCCCGCTGCTCTCGTTCGACTGGGGCTTCCCCGGCGGGATCGCCCGCTGGGAGGGGGAGGAGGGTCGCCTCCGGCGGGCGGCGGGCGCCGCGCGCGCCGCGGCCACGGAGATGTGGGCGTTCGCGCGGAAGGACCCGCGGAAGCCCGTGTTCGCGGCCAAGGTGGCGACGGCGCTCGCGCTCATCACGCTGCTCGTGTTCCTCCGCGAGCCCACCGACCTCGCCAACCACGCCGTCTGGGCCATCCTCACCGTCGTCGTCGTCTTCGAGTTCAGCATCGGTGCGTGTTGTTTTTGTTCCTCGCCACCGCGCGCGTGCCGCGATCATCGATGCGACTATTGATTTCTCTCGCTTCTTCAGAACATTTTTTTTAAGACGCTTCTAATTTAATCTACCAATAGCATGCTGTTGTCCTAGCTGACGAGCATATATACGAAACACTACAGATTACTACCAAAATTTTATCATGCAATCACAATTAACAGATCACCCTTTCCTTCGATGCTACAATTATAAACTCAGAATTCTTTTTTTTTAAGGAAAGGCGTGAAACTCAGAATTCTTTTAACCCGTTCAATAACTAATTCGGTTTCTTGTTGCACAGGTGCAACCTTGAGCAAAGGGCTCAACAGGGGATTGGGAACTCTTACTGCAGGAGGGTTTGCTCTAGCAGTTTCTGAATTGTCCTCAAGCATGGGAAATTTTGGCAACGTGATTCTGATCATATGCACGTTTGTTGTCGGTGAGTACATACAGATACTGAAATCGTTCTGCACATGATGAATATATGATTGATTATAATATATGTTTGAGCGTGGCTGATTCATGTTCTTCTTGATTTGTTTAGCATTCGGTGCGACCTTGACAAAGCTGCACCCCAAGATGAAGCCTTACGAGTATGGATTTCGTGTCTTCTTGCTGACATTCTGCTATGTCACGGTCTCTGGATACAACACGGGGAAATTCATCGCAACGGCTATAAGCAGATTTTTACTGATTGCCATTGGCGCCGCTGTCAGTCTTGCGCTCAATATTGGCATACATCCAATCTGGGCAGGGGAGGATCTGCACAATTTAGTGGCGAAGAATTTTGATGGCGTCGCAAAATCGTTAGAAGGTATGTCCATCCAATGCCAACATTGTCACAATCGTGTTACATTGCATAGATACAGTCATACAATAGGCTTGATTTGTAGACAGAATTTCAAAACCTTCTTTGATTGCCTGTCCCAGGATGCGTTGATGGATATCTGAAATGCATGGAGTATGAAAGAGTTCCATCTACGATACTGACGTACCAAGCTTCTGATGATGATCATCTGTATAGCGGGTGCAGGGCAGCTGTTGAATCATCAGCTCAAGAGGAAGCCCTGGTATGTTCTTGCCCAAAATGAAGTTCTTTTTTTTATATCTTTTCTCGTATATGTTAACACAGGTGATTTCCCTGTGTTTGCAGTTAGGATTTGCTATCTGGGAACCACCACATGGCCCTTACAAAATGATGAAATATCCTTGGATGAACTACACTAAAGTTGGTGGAGCATTGAGGCATTGCTCTTTTTCTGTCATGGCACTACATGGGTGCATTCTCTCGGAGATTCAGGTTTGTGCATCCCAAGCAAGCAAACAGATTTACTGAATTCTGTTATTTCCCCTTTTGCAAGAGTTAGCACTGAATTTCCTAACCAAAATTTCCGATTAAACTTAGGCGCCACCGGAGAGCAGACAGGTTTTCAGCGCAGAGCTCCATAGGGTTGGCCAAGAAGGCGCCAAAGTGTTGCGCGAGCTGGGGCACAGGGTTAAAACGATGACAAGACTAAGCTCTCAAAACATTCTATCAGAAGTCCACTTCGCAGCTGAACAGCTGCAGAAGAAGATCGACCAGAAGTCTTACCTCCTCGTCAACACGGAGAAATGGCAAGCTCTCATCAGGCGCCATGGAGGAGGAGCCAAGGATGGTGGGCTTGTTCCGGGGCGCCGCGCCATTGCCAGCCCCGGTGCAGTGCACAAGTCCAGCAGCTTCGCCTCGAGCACGTCCCACTCCAGCTTAAATTCGGCACCCAGGACCGACGCATCGTACAAGCCGCAGCCGCCATGGCCGATCAGGCAACCGTCCTTCCACCCGAGCTTGCCGTTCGAAGCTGCGGCGGCGGAGGCGAGAACCTACGAGAGCGCGAGCGCGCTGTCGCTGGCCACGTTCGCGTCTCTTCTGATCGAGTTCGTTGCTCGGCTCAGGAGCCTCGTTGATGCGTTCGAAGAGCTGAGTGAAAGCGCCAACTTCAAGGAGGACCCCGTGGAGGAGCCCTCCGCGATCAGCAGGGAGAATGGAGGTGTTTTGTACAGATTACGCAGGTTTTTTGGGCTTGAAGAGTTGAGGCAGAGGGCAGGGGAGCCCTAACCAGTTTTGTACGAGTGGAAATGGGTAGCCAGATGTATAGATATATTAACCCAGCTTAGGTGTGTGCTAGAATCGTTTTCGCTGACAGTGAAGATGACCGGACATGTAGGAGATGTCGATATGTACAACTGACCTACTCACCTACATGAGGATTTCGTTTCTCAGGGGGTGTTTGGGTGAGAGGGACCCTCTCACCCAAACACCCCCTAGTCATACTTGGTTGCAAGTATACGCATTTCTAGTTACTGTTGCAGATTTTTGCAATGAATGTTGAAAATATGTCACCTGCATTGAATTATAGATGTTGAGCATCATGTCATAGCCATATCTATGAGTCATCCTTGACAAAAAGTTGTAACCATATGGTCTAAGCTTGTCAAACCTAGATCGTTTAAGCTGAACGAATTATCTGATCTCGTCAGTTAGACAGCTACAAATTTCTACACAATCTAGACTTTATTATAGTCTTAATAACGATAATGATTATTATATCTGAAACTCCATTAATCCGAATATACATACACTGCTTCTTGGGTATACAACACCCTATATTACAAAAAGTACCCAAGTATACAACAAACAACCAGGATTTATACTATGGACTGTAGAGGAGATAGGGCGGCACATAACAGGATATGCTATTCGTAAGCAGCTCTATTGGTAGTCTCTATGTATCATTTACATATGTTTATTGCACAATACTTGTTAGAGGAAGAAGGGAAAGCCCTTTTGTGTTTGTGGCTTGGTGCAGTCTGAATTAGTCCATCCAATCTGCCTCTGTTGATTGTCATACACAACCAACTTGCCGCGCAGAGCATTATCTATATGGAAAATCAGGGAAGGATTATTCCAATGTTTGACAAAACCGACCATCTCACGATGCATCTAGAATTGCGAATCGAGGTAAAATTTTGCAAGTGCTAAGATGAAGCTCATCTATACCTCCGACTATTACTGTTGACCCATGATCGATGTCCTTTCCATTGAGGAATCCCAGGCAGACATTGCCTTTATCCTGGGAAATCCAGAAAGAAAAACAGATGGAGTAATTTTAGCACAGAACTCAAGTTAGAGGGGCCGATAGATGATAAAAGTTCTAACAGTATGAGGAAAGCATCAAAACTTACACTAATGATCAAGTAATTATCAGGAAGAATGGTGAATGTTCTGGGCATTACAAACCATCTTTTCCCAAAATGAAGATTCAAGGGCTTGAAGAGCTGTTTGACATCTTCCAAATACCTGGATATCATAAGATCACAAGGAAAAATGAATAGTTCCTTTTTCTGGAGAGTTGCGTGTTGAACTTCATCAGCAAAGGCAATCTATTGGAGCGCTATGATTACTCCATTGTTTTACCTCACAGGAAAATCAGTTGCCAAGCATAAAGGTAATGTACGATCTGAACTATCTTGGACAAAATTTGGGTAGGCATATTTGATCTGCCAAGGTCAAGGAGAAAAGGTAAGTCAAAATGTGGTTGAATAGTTGAACCCTTTTAAACAATTAAGAAAAATACTCACAGCTGCAATAAGGTTTTTGTATATTTCATCTGGGAGGTATGTATATGAACTTCCGCTGTCAAAAATCACTTGAACTGAGTTCCCTGATGCCCCACGCATACTGAGCTGTTGGTCCCCATAATATACCTTTTGGGCTTCTGTGTGGAACAAGTTACTGATAGTATAAAAAGATCATTAGGGAGAGTGAAAAGAATTTACCAGATTCTTTTTTTCAGGATCATTGCAATGTGCATACAGAAACTTTTGCTTAAGAATACGGAGAACAGGAAAAAAGTGGCCACTGGCCAGGGAAAACATGCAATTAAACTTCCAAAGAACAGGACTTACTCTGGAGCACTTCGGATAGGTGTTGATGTCATTCCCCATCTGGGTACATAGTCATCCCCTAGAAACATATATCCTCCACCATTTGGATCTCTAGTGATACAATGACCAAAAACATTGGAAATAATGCCTTGGTTGGCCAGCTGACTGGGAAGGCTTATTCCTGCACTACTAAGACCAAGGATCCCATCGGTCTTAGCTGGTGAGGCCAAAAGCTGGCCTTGCTGATCATATGCACACCTACATTTGTAGGACATCAAGCAGTCAGAATGTCAGATATTTATATGATTTGACACCATTTGTCATAACATATAGTCTGTCGGCTACATATCCTCTCTTAAAAGGTTTGAACATACCCAAACACAAAATCTAGTTTTTCCCTTCCACCATTAGTAGTGATAATATGCATATCATCCCTAGCAAGGACACCCATGGAGGAGCTTCGATCAGCATATTCAATCTCATAATCACATTGCTTGCATGTTTCACAGTAGTTCTGGTTGCCTTGCAACTCTTGACATAATAAATCCTTGGGAGGGACTATCTTTTCTTTTGCCGGCTTATATAAAGGATGAGGTCCCTGCGAGTACAACACATGTTCATCAGATAAAAAAACAACAGCATTGAAAAGAATATGAGGCTAATCACAAAATGACAGAAATATTGTTGTATTAGTTTTGTTTTACTAACAACATATTTATAGTAGACAAGTAGAGATCCTAGCATAGTCTAGAACAATTTGTTAAGGATGTTGTTGGAAGTTGGAACTAGAATGGAAATTGCTCATGTTTAGTTGCATACTTTGGCACAGTTTGTGCATGGTGCATCACACTGGATCCATGTCAAATCGCTTCCAGTATCAACATCAAGAAAATAAGGTCTGGGTGGATTGCCCACAAAAATAGATGTGTAGTACTGCCTGCATTGCATTTGGGGTACAATGATATTAGCAGGTGTAAGATGACATTAACCCAAATAGTTCAAGTATAACATCCCTTGCATCATATACCGAAGACTAAGGCCAGAATAACAACTATAGAGATCAGTTTGGTAAAGGGTCTAACCTTAACTAAAATTGTTAAATTCACAAAAATAACAGTCCATGTATAACAAGTACAACTATAAACTAAGACATCATAACGGATTTTGCCGTATAATTCAAGAGAAGTACTCCTATAAGAGATCACTTGGTGAATATCCCCAACCCAGATCAACGAAACACTCTCGGGCTGCATTTGATCATCAACATGATTAAATCCCCTCTCTCTAACCAAACTAAGATACTCTCGGGCTGCATTTGATCATCAACATGATTAAATCCCCACTCTCTAACCAAACTAAGATGAGAAATAAATTTCTCTTGAATCATAAGATAAAGCTGCAAGAGTGACGCTCAAATCAAAATCCGATTCCTGAACAATTATACGCACCCATCAGGGAAGACATTCCCCTTGATCGGGAGCAGAGCCGTCGAGTTCGTCCCCGCCGCAGCTGCCTTCTTGACCTCCAATTTGTTCCTAGATTTCCTGCCGACGCCCCCTCCGCCGTCATTATCGAATCTTCTGGCCGCGAGCTTGATGTCTCCAAACTCCCGCAGCGCGCGCCCCTGCCGTGCCTTGGGGTACAGCGGCAGCAGGAACGACTTGGTCTCGTTCCTCTCATTCTGCGCCTCCTCCTGCATCCCCAAGAACTGGACGGCCACGTCCGAGTAGAAGGAGTAGTATGCCGCGACGGCGAGCGCCCCGAGAACGAGCACCATCGCCGCCGCCCGCCGCGGCGAGAACCCCCGCCTCGATCGCCTAGCCTCCGCCCCCGCCCCCGCCCCCGCGGGCACTAGAGCCCGCGTCGGCAGATGCGTCGGCGGAGGCGTAGGCGGGGGCGGGGTGACGTCGTCGTCGGTGTAGGTGAACGCGGTGATGGTCTTGCCCTTGGAGGGCTGGTCCGGGGGAGGGAGGGTGATGATGACCACGCCATGGAGCTGCGGCGGATCCGGCGCCGCCGGGGGCGGTGGGGGAGGCGGCGGCGGCGGCATCACCGTCGAGATCCCGGCGGCGCTCCGGCGAGGTCAGAGAGGGGGAGCCATGGGAGGCAAGTGGCGTCTGAAACCGGCTAAGGGTAGGGGACGGTGGTTTTGCTGTGCGGAGGACTTGTGCTCTCACTGTGATTGGCCCATTGACTTGACTTTTCCGCCAAAGTGGTAAAGATTAAATAATTATAATTTCGCGGATAATTCTACGGGCTGTGCCGTGTGCCGTGTGCCGTGTGCGACAGTGCAACGCGGATAATTCTCAAAGCAAAGGCTAATAATACCTATATACTTCCTCCGTTTTAAAATATTTGACACAGTTAGACTTTTAGTACGTGTTTGATCATTCGTCTTATTCAAAAAATTTAATTAATTATTTATTCTTTTCATATCATTTGATTCATTGTTAAATATATCTTCATGTACACATATAGTTTTACATATTTCACAAATTTTACAGCTTATCTCTCAGCTCACTTATATATTAGTTAACTTTTCACTATAAATATATGGTCACCTGTCTATCTCACAGATTTTATTGATTCATGTGCCTAAGCCGGCTGTAAACTTATAGCCCGTTTCTCATCTCTCTCCTCTCATCTCCTCTCTCATCCACCTCTCACTTAGGTCCCTCAAATTTGTTGCTTAGCCTGAACTTTGTCCCTAACCGTAATACCAAATATGATGCGTCCTTCAACTCCACAAACCAGTACAAATAAGATATCAAGGCGGTTTCGGCTAATGTGACGTCTACGCGACATTAACGTGGCTCAGAAAAATTGAGACCCACATATCAGTGAGTGTCCGGTTAAAAATAAAAAAATAGCAGTGTCGGCAGCCAACCCATCTTTCTCCTATCTCTCCCCTCTTCCTTCTCTCTTCCCTATCTCTCTCTAGGCCAGGAGTGGGCGGTGGGCAACAGAGGCTAGGAGACGGGCAGCGGATGGCAGGCAAAGTTGCAGTGGCTATAGTGGGTTCGAAGGGCGGCGGTCATCCTCCTCTCTCCCTCTCTTCATCATCTCTTTATAGGTTGAGAGACTGGCAACGAGTGACGGGCAACAGAGGTCGAGAGGCAGGCGATGGGTGACGAGTGGCAGATGTGCTTAGAGCTCCACCGCCATCACCGCCGTGGACAACCAGAAGTGAGAGCTCCACCTCCTCGAACTAGGACTAAAGTTCGTGGGACACGTGGACCAGCACCAGTGTCATGGTGGCACGCGCGAGGCTTTCCATGGCACCTTGAAGGACCGGTCGGGGATGTCCCTATGGTGAAGGTGAGACACCACGTTGCATTGCTGCCCAAAGGAGGTGCTTGAATGGCTAGAGGGGCATGAACCAAGGGCTGACCCCGCAAAAGGCGTTGTTGAGCACCTCGTCATCGCGCCACTGCCCTTGTCTCGGAGGTGCAGTAGCAGCGCGATGGCACCGATGAGGGACTCCCCATAGAAGAAGCAGTGAGCGGTTGTTGACGAAAAAATCGAACACACCGGCCTGGGAGATCTGCTTAGCTCCTGTGCAGGTCCAAAGATTAATGAGATACGGATGTGCCAGTCAGTTTAATCCTGTAACTGACAAGATTTGCAAATAATAGATCAAACAGCCGATCAACTGACAAGCTGATGGAGTAGTTCCAGCCGATAGTCGATAATAGCCGATGCCGATACCAGCCGATAGCGATAGGGTTTAAGCAATCGGCTATATGTCCAATGTAGATAATGATATAAAGGCAATCGGCTGATGATAATATAATATAGCAATATAATCCAGTAGAAACCAATCGGCTAACAATATGAAATAGTAGAACAAATATTGATCCGAAGGTTAAAGCACACATCGGTTAGAGGTCCGATGTCATAAGATCCACAAGATTAGATTAAACAGTGAAACCTTTGTTGCCATCGGCTAAATCCAACTTATATGTATATGCAATCCCTACAAGCCGATGCAACGTCCAGATAACTTATCGGCTAGCACCTCGATAAAACATTAGCATGAACCTATCGGCTTAACAAGACTTATATTATCAACAACAATCTAGTAGATCGAACCTAACCGATGCAGCACGAGATTGTATATGATAATCTAATACTCGATGAGCCGATAGATCTGTCTAATGTGATGGATATAACAAATCTATTTAGAACAATATTATGATTGTAGAGATATATCGGCTAAGACAGGAGATCAGACCTAACCGAGACAGTCCCAACTAAACCGATGCGTCTCTAAACACAATGCAATTAGAGATAGAATTGAGATATCAGGTAGGCAAATATATCAACCAAACCAAAGTGATCCAAGAGATCGAATCGATGCAGCCTTGAACAACACCAACGTAGCCGACAGATTCACCAGGGCCCGACAGAACGTAGGACTTACCCCTTCGCTGGAGATCGAAAGTCGATGCAGCCCTGCGTCAGGTGCCCAAGTTCCACCGGAAGATAAGTAAAAACCTCAAGGAAGAGGGTGGCGATGCGCCGAGAGTATTATTGATCGATAGATTGATAGATTACAATGACCTCGGGTGTACATATTTATACCCATAGGGAGATACTAGTCCTTGTCGGACAAGAAAGAAACTAAAAAGGAAAAGATAAAGTCCTTATCGGACACTAAACGCACTTTCCTAAAGATAAAAGGAAACTAACAAATTATGCCTAATTAATAGATAACTGTCATGTCGCATCCTTCTTGAACTCGAACTCTTCTAGATAAGCTTCCTTTGATTGATCCGACTCCACCAAGAACACGATATCGTAGTGACTTGACTCCCATCGGCTGATTCTAGAACTTTGAAGCCGACACTGACTCTAAACCGATGGTAACTTTGGGCTTACCAAATTTCACTGTTAACAGCGGTGCGTGGGTATTGAACACGGGAGGGGCGAACGCGGCCTCACAGTCCTTGAGCATGAGTACAATGTCCGTGTACGGTTTGTGGTCCTAGAGCCCTTTGGAGAAGCCATGCCAGGTGGTCGATGGTGGCGACAGTGAAACCGACCTTGGCGAGGTACACCACTGTGAGCTGCACCATCCAAATGGACTCCCCCGTAAAGCCGTCTACCACTCACTTGGCCTCCATCGCTCTCTGCTCGCTCCCAGCCTAGAGAGGGATAGGGAAGAGAGGTTAGGAGGAGAGAGAGAGAGAGAGGAGAAGGAAGATGGGTATTACTATTTTTAACCGGACACTCATTGACACATGGGGTCTACGGTATTTTCTGACTAAGTACCACATCAATGCCATGTTAGCTGAAACCGCCGCTCAAACCGTCTTGGGACTTTATTTGCACTGGTTTTGGGAGTTGAGGGACACATCATATCTGGTATTGCGGTTTAGGGATGAATAGTAGACTTGCGACAACTTGAGGGACCTAAGTGAACTTATTCCTTCCAATCAAGCACTTCCTGGTTAGGTGGGCCAAATATTAGGCCTGCTGGGCTTACGCCTCAACCGGCCCATTTAGAATACGAGATATTTCGCTCGCGGCCCACGCGGTGCTCGTCGTCGTCTCCTGGCTAGCCGGTAACCAGCCACTCACGCAGACTCGAGGCCACCACTGGGAGGAGAAGATGGACGCCGCCCGCGCCTCCCTCCTCTTGGCCGGCGGCCTCGCCGTATCCACCTCCACCTCCGCCGTCGCCACTGCCGCCCAAACCGTCTCGATTCCTCACCTATCGCCGCACACCCGCCGAAGGCGACAGCGCCGCTTCCTCCGCCTGGCCTCCGCTGCGGCGTCGTCTCCCCCGCCGCTCCCCGCTGCTTCGGCGCAGCCGCATTGCTCTAGGTGGGTCGTGGTGATGGAGAGACCCCCCGCGCCAGCGGGAGGCGGCGAGGTGTCCCGTGCGGAGGCCGTCGACCACTACGTCGCCACACTGGCCAGGGTATTGGGGAGGTAAGTGGTGGGAGGCTGCTTTTTTTTTTTTTTTTTTTTTTTTTGCCCCCTTGCGCACTTTCTGAGGTTGAAAGGATCGTGCAGCCAGGAGGAAGCACAGATGCGCATATACGATGCTTCGTGGGATGGGAGCTACGAGTTCAGCTGCGAGATCGACGATGAAGCGTCAAGGGACCTTGCGAGTATGTTGTTGAATCCTCGGTCAAGTCAATTGTGCACTTTAATGAGCTAACTTTGCCTCGTGCAATTTTGCATGAAAATGTTTGAATTCTTGTGGTAGATGTTTTCTGCTACTCATATAACCTGAGCTTGTCATTTGTGTTAGTTGCTTATGCTCTTCCAATGTACAGAAATGCCCGGGGTATTAGCTGTTAAGCCAGATACGGATAAGGTTGATATGTCAGAGAAGGATAATCATGGCTCAGGCCTCTCAGCAGCTAACCTAGGAAATTTCAGTGATGCTGTTTCCAATCACTCTTCTTCTAGTGGGGAAAATGAGTTTTGGCTTGTGCGAATGGAGAAGCCTGGGGTTGAAGTTGTGACAAAGGCACAAATGGTGGATCATTATACCCAAACCCTCATGAAAGTGTTGGGGAAGTATGTAGCCTCATCATCAACCTTGCTTCTATTTTGCTATATATGCCCTGTGGATGATACAACTGTTCTTTCTTCCCAATTTCTAGTGAAAAGGATGCACAAGTCAGCATATATCACATTTCATGGGAGAGGGATTATGGCTTCTGCTGTCACATTGACGAAGAATGTGCCAAGGAGCTAGCTGGTTAGCAACTTTTGTTGTCCACTCCTTAATATGCATATTATATGACTATTCTATTTCTAAATTTCTATAGGAAACTATATATTTATTTAGACGCGCTGACATTATAAGTTTGCACACCAGATGTTTCTGGAGTGTTATCTGTTCAACCGGACACAAATTTTGGATCCGACAACAAAAATTACAAAGGTTTGACTATTGTATTCTGTTTCTCATTTCATATATTTATATTTATATTGTAGTCCTGAATCCTATCATCAAAATCGTGCCTTTTTGAATGTCATGTGCCACATCAATGCCTTGATTTTTGTTCCAACGTTATTTTTTTCTGAAATGAATCATTCCAATAATATATTTCCTGCTAAGAAGCAAAATGCTTTGTTCCCGACTCCTAGCCACCTAAGAGGGTGGCAAAAATACTACTTTATTCATGCCTCTAACCTGAACTAGAATGGTAGATATCCTATATCATTAAATTTTGATGCTACTGTTAAATATTCCTGGGGTCTTAATTTGGTATGAACATGTTGATTCTGTTACATCTTGTACTCACTGGCATATTCTCCCCTGAAAACATACCTAGTAGGCCTTGCAGGTAGTGTATTCATTCATAGTGCTAAGGAATAATGAATAAAACACCCACATCGCTTTTTATGATTTCAGGTGATGACAGCTTCAAATCGTCTGAAGCTACTCAGGCTGAAGTCAAAACTAAAAGGCTTTTTGTTACAGGTAAAGTCATCATGTACTACACATGAATTTCAGTGTGTTTATCTAATCATTTATCATTTACATGAGAATGCTATCTTCTTTGTCCTGGAGTAATATATTTTGTGTCCTCCCTATTGAATCGCTATGTTTTTATGCCCAATTTTTATTATTCAGTGGATAGGTAGGTAGTCTAAATTAGACAATAAGAACCTATGTGAGGGATAGTAGTTCTAAAATGTGAATGACTAAACCCCCACTGAGAAATATTGGTTAGATGCAAAGCATATGAAAATAAGTGTCCTCCATCAGATTTCAAGTGTAACAAGTCAGACGAGAATGGGAGATGAAAATCTTCTGTTGTTTTTGCTCTCATCTGTGAGACAAGCAACACTGCACAACAAAAGCATACACTGCAATAGAAGATCAGTTATATTTTAATCCTGTTTTACTTATTTTAAATCTGGTGTGATATTTCTAATTTCTGGCAGGTCTTTCATTTTATACATCTGAGAAAACTTTGCGGGCTGCCTTTGAGCCTTTTGGTGAACTAGTTGAAGGTTTGTTCTGCTAATACAGAAATGCTCGTACATCTCCATTCAGATCTTTTCGTTTGAGATATTGAGTTTGATCCATTATTAAATTATTACAGTGAAGATAATAATGGACAAGATATCAAAAAGATCAAAAGGGTATGCTTTCATAGAATACACCACAGAAGAAGCTGGAGGTGCTGCTCTGAAAGCAATGAACGGACAGGTAACCTGACAAAATTCTCTTTACTGGTAGGCTGGTAATATCTTCAAGACATTCATTTATCTCTCGAGCTTATATATACGCGTCAATTTACAGATAATAAATGGCTGGATGATAGTTGTCGATGTTGCTAAACATAGATCGAGGGACCGTCAACCCCCGTATAGTGCATCAGGTAGATCCAATCAAGTGCTTCGATCGCGTTATCATACTGGATGAACAAAGCATGACACCTAGAGATTAGACACAAGATTAGCAGTGAGTACGAAGTAGAAACCATAGTTTTCCGGTGGTGTTGTATTTTTGCGTGGCCTGCTATTCTAATGTTTCCAAGAGATGATAGCGGGCTACAGATTCCATAAGTTTAGTAATATCTAACATGTACTGGATTGATGCAATATCTTTTGATACTGCATTGGTAATATGAGCTTGAATAGATAATCTCATGTAACATATTTCTATCAACAAATAATGTGAAAAAAAGAGATGTGATTAATACAAACAGACAATTCCCTGAATTAAATTTCAGGAAGGGCAAGTGTTTCAGGTTCACTTCCAGCTGATACCAAATTAACTTTCAAATCTTCCAACATCTGATAGATATCTTCGCTTTCTGTGTGTAACTTGTCTGCACTGACAAAGGAATGTACACGACCATCTAACTCGATCCAGCTAAGCCCAGGCTGCTTCATTACCCCATACTCCTCCATCTTCCTCCTCGTTCTCTTCAAGTCTTCCCATTGTCCAGCTCGTGCATATGTGTTGGATAACAAGACATAGGAGCTGCCATGTCTTGGCTCTGCGTGTGCCAGCTTTCGAGCAGCAACCTCTGCCATCTCGACATTGCCATGGCTCTGACAGGCAGCTAGAAGTGAGCTCCAGATCACAAGACCCGGATCTTCCGGTAGACTGCTGGCGAGTTCGAAGGCTTCTTCCAAGAACCCGGCACGGCCGAGAAGATCTATCAAGCAACCATAGTGCTGCATCGTCGACTTGATGCCCATGCTCCTCATTAGGTTGAAGTACTTGAAGCCTTCGTTGACTAGGCCCCCATGGCTACAAGCATTCAGGACGGCCAAGAAGGTGACTCCGTTAGGCTCAATGCCCAATTGCCTCATCTCGGTGAACAATCTCAGCGCCATCTCTGGGTGACCATGTGCTGCGAAACCACCAATCACAGAGGTCCACTGCTCCACATTCTTGCTGGCGACACTTGAGAAGCACCGGAAGGCGTCGCCCATGCTTCCGCACCTTGTGTACATGTTGATCAGAGCAACACCAAGAGCACCATCCAGTGAGAACTCCCGCCGAATTACGTACCCGTGAGCGCACCTTCCAATTCCAAGCACACCCATATCGCGAACAGCTGATACAAAGCCGACCATCGTGGCCTCGTCCGGTGCCAAACCATAAACCACCGTCATCTCGGCAAACAAATCCACTGCCTCCTGAACCCAACCATGCCTCACAAAACCAGCAATGACAGTGTTCCAGGAAACCACGTTCCGCTCCGGCATTTCCACAAACACCTCCCAGGCAGCATCCAAGTCGCTGGCTCGCACAATCCCATCAAGAAGCACGTTCCACGACACCACCGTCTTCACCGGCATTCCATCGAACATCTTCCGCGCATCGCCCAGGCGGCCAAGCCGCGCGTAGACACGCACAAGGGAGGTGGACGCGTAGACGCCGGAGACGGACGGCGGGTCGCCGGACTTGACGAGGAGGGCGTGGATCTGCTCGGCCTCGGCCGCCGCGGAGGGCAGCAGCCGCGCGCAGGCCGCGAGCGCGGGCACCAGCGCGGGGTTTGCGTGGAGGGCGCGGCCGTCGAGGTGGTGCCGGCGGAAGGCGCGGAGAGCGGCGTCCCCCGAGAACGCAGCGCGGCATCGGAGGGCGGCGCCATTCGAGGCCCGTTTGGAGAAGGGAGATTTCGGCGGGAGACCGGAAGTGGCGGGGGAGAGGAGCGAGCAACCCGAGGAGCTCATGGAAGAGATTATCTCTCATGCTCCGCTAGTATTGCGAAGGTGAAAAAAAATACAGTGCGGATCCAGCAGGTCGGATTCGTCAGCCGATTTTTGCAAAGATAATTCAAGCATGACCATAGCAGAGCAGTGACGGCAGCGCTGGCTGCTCGGGGAAGAAGAAGAGTAACGACGCTGATAAGGGGGCGGAAGGCTGAAGCGGTAGGCACGTATGTGGCCCAGTTCGGCACTTGGGCCATCTCTCATCTTCCCCACAGCTTGTCTTGGCCCAATACTATCAGCTCATTCGGCTAGGGCAGTGTACTAGGCTGCAGGAGTCGGGACGGGAGGCTTGCGATGCAAGCGGCGGCGGCGGCGGCCGGCGGGGGAACCAGTCGGGCAGGGAGGGCCCGGCAAAGCAGGCGGGGGCGGCGGGAGCACGGCACGACCATGGTGACTTCCGTCCGAGGCAGTTGGATGCAGCATTACCGATGTGAGTCTTGCTATATATTGCTACAGTGAGTAAGGCTGCGTTCTATACCTATCATGGTTCCCAATTTTCCTCCCTCGTTTTTCGCAAGCACGCTTTTTAAACTGCTAAACAGTGTGTTTTTTTTAAAAAAATTTCTATAAGAAAGTTGCTAAAAAATCATATTAATCTATTTTTAAAAAAAAATTAGCAAATACTTAATTAATCACGCGCTAATCGCTGTTTCGTTTTCCGTGCCAGCCGAACACAGCCTAAATAGGGGCTGCTATTTTATACTCCCCCGTTCTAAAACATATTACATGGCTGACTTTTCGCATAAAGTTTAACCATTCATTTTATTTTATTTTAAGCTTTATGTGAAAAATCAAGGGTGTATACTTACCTAATTTTGTTTCAACTCTTAACGTACCTAAGAAAGACGAACCCCTGCCCTCCACCATTTAGTTAATGTGTATACTTACATCGTTATTTGGAGACCATTGTGAATCCTCTTTTCATGATACCTGAGCCTTTTGCTTCCATTAGTGCTATATCTTGTGTTTGTTTAAGTTTAGCCTATATTCACTACCAACTCCCCTATCTTCCCTATATGTTAGTTATGTGCGTTAGCCAGATTAACCGGAAAGCTACTTCATCAATATAAGAAGTTTTAGCGCTGAAAACAAGTATTAAGAAAGTTCTTGAAATTAGATAGGAAAGGTTGTAATTGGTTGAGAAGAGAAAGTAGGTGAATAAATTAAAAGGTGGAATATTGTGATTAGTCAAGAAGAGAATGTAGATAAAAAAGTTGTTATATTTTGAAACAAATTTTGAATACTATAAGTTATTATATTTTGAGACGGAGATTAGTTTCTCTTTTAAAAATGCAGTCATCCTACTTCCTTCTCCTTCTCATGTATGCAGGAGTTCATGCACTCCTTACTCAATCCACCCAACCCGACCAATCCCTAATTATATAGGTTTAGCCCTTGTTTTATCTTCAATTCACCCAACTACAAATTCTCAATTATAAGATCTTGCCCATCGTAAAGCAAAGGCATATTATTAGTTTGATAAAAAAACCGATGGTTAGTTTACCTATATTTTAGTGCCCTGTAATGTATGAATCCAACAGTGTACACGATACAAATATCATATTAATAAGGCTGAGTTCGGATGTGGTGTTGGGCTTGAATTTTGATGGCATGTGAAATGAGATAAACCATTAGCACATAATTAATCGAATATTAATTACTATAAATTTGAAATTATATTTATTTATATTTTTAAAAACTTCTCTATAGAAAAATTTTGCACAAAACAATACCATTTAACAGTTTCAGAAACATGCTTACGGATGACGAGAAAGTTGTTGTAGCTGGTTACTCTATCGATACCAAACTCTACTTAAATCAGAGTTAAACTTGTTTACCTAGTACCATATCTTGTATATCATTATCTACCTAGTACTTTGTTAAAATATCGATACATAATTACGTGAGTGACATTGTTTACATTGGTCTTGATACAGAAGAGGTCCACTACGCAACAACCGGAGCACAATAGTACATTTTTAGCAAAGGTAGAGTAGTGTAATTAACAAGTTACCACTACAATAATTATCATTATCTTGGTTCTATGAAGAGACCTTAATTGCAAAGCTACACACATGGCAATTCGCAAAAAGCAAGTGACCACCAGTGCTCCCGGTTGGCCACGGTGCCCTTGTCATCCATCCCAAGAACCTTTCCTGACAGGTGTTGTTTCATCATAAGGCAATCATTGACACTTGTCCGGCCACTTTGTGGATGAAAATGCGAGGCCACTTTTGCAGGCCAGGGAATGCATGGATCGCGTGGTCTCGATCGGCTTTGGTCCTTCGCTTTCCTCAAAGTAAAAAAACCTCGGAACTTGGAAATTAGAAAGGACATTGAGGTTAGCATCGAAGCGAGCACAAGTGCACTAGGATTGGTCCGGCTAACCATCGTACCACGTGGGCTCGCCAAACAAAAGAGAGGCAGCTCCGGAGCACAAAGCCGGTGTGTGATCTCCCGTCTGATATATAGTTCATGATGCATGAACATGCGCGCAACATGCATGGATATTATCCAGTATTCCAGTACAGTATCACACATTGAGTCATCGAGAAGATAAAAGAAAAATATGGGCCTGATTGGTTTGGAGAGAGAGTTTAACCTTACTGAGATATCAGTAAGCCAAAATCTGGGTGTCGTCAAAATTTCAGTAAAAATTAAATCGGTAACCTTATTGAAGTATTCTTAAGCTAAAATGTCACTAGTACACAAAAGATTTTTATGGACGCCGGCCCCGGTCGATTTCAGACGAATCATAAATGGCGTCGTCTGGCGACTGTATCCCACACGGGAAAATGCATTATCCCATGCGGGCGTTTTAATCCGACCGCACGGGATAATATCCGGTGCGGCTCCTTAAGAGGATCGCACGGAAAAATCAATTTTTACGTGCGGGCATATTAAATAGATCGCATGCGAAAATACCTCTCCCTCTCACCCACTTCAAAATTTTCACTCCTCCTCTCCCTTCCTTTCCTTTTTTATTTTCACTCCTCTCTCTCTCTCCCTTCCCTCCTCTCTGTCTCTTTTTCCATCTCTTTCTCTTCTCCTCTACTCTCCTCTCCGCGGGACCGGACGGGCGCGACGGCGAGTGGCTCGGCAGACGGCGTGGTGAGTGGCGAGGGCACGGCGGCGAGGGGTGACGGCAACCAGCCTCCACCCGGATCCGGCGGCGGCGGCCGTCTCCTGCTCGGATCTGGCGGCGGTGGCCGTCCCCGCCCAGATCTGGCGGCGGTTGGCAGGCTCGACGGCGGCAGCTAGGAGCGGTGGGCTCGAGAGCGGCAGCTGGTCACGCCGACGGCGGCGCGACGACGACGGGAGCTGCGACGGGCGATTCTAGGGTTAGGGTTAGTTTTTTTTTATTTTTTGATTTTATTTTTTTTTGCTGTTTTTTTTGTGCGTGCGGGCGGTATAACTTGACCGCACGGGATAATCGATTATCCCGTGCGGTTGGGCTGTCCGCACGTGAAAATTTTGATTTTCGCAGAGCCCTGGGTGTAGACGGGCACTACCTCCGCACGGAAAATTAGATTTTGACCGCACGGAAAAATGGATTTTGTACTAGTGTGTACAATTAATTTTACAAAGGTCGTTTAGGTTGACGTTTGATTTGATACCAGCTGGAGTACAAAAACATGTGTGTATTACGAACATTTTTTACATAATGTTTGTTTATCACTACCAAATTATGCCGGTAATGTCTCGAGCCAAAGTCCAAGTACAGAATGCTCCAACGTTGAAGTATGAGCCCCGTAGCTAGACTAGCCATTGCTTCTCCACGAGACTACCAAGCACTGATCGGAGTGAATTCAATTTAAAGTACAAGTGAAGTATGAAAAAAAATACTTAAGTCTTTTTAGGAGTGGATATCTAGTAAACTAATGTATCACAAAATTTGTGAAGTTTGTGATAAAGAAAGTATTTGGTTAATGGAATGTGCAAGGGCCATGCCGCCCTTCCTTTTCCCCCAAACCCCAAATGATAAAGAACGGCATAGCAGTGTTGTTAATTTACTGATCATATAACGACATCTTTCGACATCCTAACTAAATTAATCTTTCCCCTCACCAAAAGCCCAGCCCCTGACAAAGTGCCTATATATTAACGTGCCAAAGCAATAGTAGCTACTTGAAATGGGCATAAACATCAGAAACCGTTTGTATTTGTAGAATCAGCGTACTACTATTATAAGATAGACACGTACGCCCTTTGTTACAAACTTACATGGGAGCACAATCTTTTAAGGAAAGAAATTAAAAGTAGTTCATGGCATGGTTATAATATGAGATAGCTATAGACTGAAACGATGTCGACATCTCCCATGTTAGAATTAGACCCTCCCATGTTGCCAAGGGACGCATCCTCATGATGTGTCTGTGCAGGTAAGCAACAGACAAGAGCTGGCTAAACATATTCTGAAATCTTATAAGGTGATTGTACTTTTATATGCCCACCTTTTCAATATATAATGAATAGTATCATATTACTACAAGAGCGGATTTCCAAACCAATGGGCAAACTAATTGTGCAATGGCTCCGTTTTTATATATATAATGACCATATATACATGTCACTGACATACATGTACAGTTTCAATGATTTAGGTCATGGTCTGTAATTATATATATCAACAAGCTAGAAAGCAAAACACCCACGTCAAAAACTTTCCCATAAGAAATTTCATTATAAAAAGACGAATGATGAGAAGGCATTTCTAAACCTATGTTCAGATTGGTCCAATTAAACCACTCAAAGATTCTTGTACGGTGCATGATAAAAAAAACTATGTATGTAAGCCCTTGAGCATATTTTTATAGTTTGATGGATAATAAGCATCCTAGGATGCCTTATGTCTATAGAGACCTTAATAAAACTCAACATATCAATTGAACTGACAAAGGCGCATTATAGATTTTGGATTTAACGAAGTCTTAACCTTAGCTATATTTTGCATATGTAGCCTACACATATTTGATAAAAAAATTGCCTCTAGCTGCTGCTGCTCATCTTGAGATGATTTCTGGTATATATATAATATCAAGTTCTTAATATCTGATCAATCTTGCAATAATCCTGATCATTAAGTTCCATGTAAACACTTGTCTGGTGTAGATTGGAGCCTCTCCTAAAATCCCATATGTTAATTTTAGGCCTTGTTTAGTTCCCAATTTTTTTTCCCAAAAACGCCACATCGAATCTTTGGACACATGTATGGAGTATTAAATATAGATAAAATGAAAAAACTAATTGCACATTTTGCATGGAAATCACGAGACGAATCTTTTGAGACTAATTAGTCTATGATTAGCCATAAGTGTTACAGTAACCCGCATATGCTAATGACGGATTAATTAGGCTTAATAAATTCGTCTCACGGTTTCCAGGCGAGTTATGAAATTAGTTTTTTTATTCGTGTCCGAAAACCCCCTTCCGATATCCAGTCAAACGTCCGATGTGACACCAAAAAATTTTCTTTTCGCAAACTAAACAAGGCCTTAACATGCTAGAAATTTAGAAAATTCCACATTAATTGACTATAATCCATCCTAAATTTTCATCCATGGCATCTAGGAAGAGATCAATAATGATGTTGACAACCAAATTCGGCACCAGATTGATTCTATTCATAAATTGCAGAATTAAGAGCCATTTTCGTAGAAGGCTGTGGTTAATTAGACCGCAGTGCATATGCCGGTTTGATCAGGACCATGGCAGTCTGATGGCCAATCTGATTGGCGTGGAGCATGCGGCCTAACCGGCAAACTCCGAGTCCGATAGAGTCTCATGTTCTTCTGCTTGTTTGAGATTTTTTTAGTCCTAATACATTCCAGGACCTACTTACACTACGAGAATTCAGAATTTGCTTGGTGGCCATCTAATCTCTTTGGCGGTTCGACATCACCTAAGGTAAAGTGTATTCTTATCGGTCTAGACTGCCAAGGTTATATTTCTTGACTATTCGAAAGTTTAATATTCTCCGTAGTTTTCTTGGCGGTTAGACCGCCAATAAAATTTTCTCTCACGGTTAGCAGCCAAGAAACCTGGATTTTCCTGTCACTCTAGACTTGGCGGTTGGATGTCAAAATATATTATCTTAGTGGTTTTCATGCTATCCTTGGTGGTTTTTGGCCGCGAAGAAAATTCCGAATTCTTGTAGTGTTGGGACGTGGATAGGCTTTGTTTATGTAAGATCAACCCCTTTATAAGAGCTATAACTAATTCATCGAGACAACCAGCACACAATCAATCAAAGAATCGTTCTTATACCCTTTTTCTTTACTTCTACCCCTTTAACCCTAGTTCATCCATCTTCATCAATTTGCATTGAAAGCCATCCACTTTTTGCGGCGAGAGTACGAAATCTTTTATAGGTTTGTCCCAAAAATCTTCCGTTCCGTCCATGATATGGTTGTTTATCCCCAAATTAATCTAAATTGGTTCTGCTAGCCTATTTTGATTCTATCACCGCCAAGATCAGAAGCCACACCATCTACTTTGGGCAATGGTTCAAGATCAAGAGGCACCACTACTTCATCTACATCAACAATACCGGAGGCTCGATCGGTTTGTGTGTCGTCAAATAGTCTTTTGTAACACGTATATGGCTCCAGCATGGATTCATGTCCAGCTAATTATTGCAAGCAAAATGAGATGTGTTGAGTCCTTTCCTATCACTTACATGACACTATACATATTAATTTTTAGCTTATATGCAATTCTATAGCCAGTATTATGAATGGGGAGTGGTACCTATTTTGAGCAAACGATGAGGTGTACAATATCGTACTGGAAAATGTAAAATGTACTTATCATGAGCTGTAGCCGCACTCATAACCAATCAATAACTGGCACAAGGAAAGCCATGGAACATCTTTACATGGTCTTTCTTGCGGCATGGTTTTAAAGTAGCAAATTCGTGCTACCGTATATGAACATGTGACCGTGACACAAAATCAAGAAATCCAGAATGAACATGGATCCTAAGCACATGACCTCACCGATCGATCACCACCAAAGCCTTTTTCCATTTGTGTGGCAATAATAATTAAAGTTTTGTATAGTTTAGTACATGGCGCCGGCGGGTAATTAAGCTGCAGCCACCTGCATCCGATCCATTCGTGCATATAACCTAACCACCCATTTCGCCTTCTCTCCACTCTCTCTCCTCTCCCTCTCTCTCTCTCTCTGTCTCTCTCTCTCGGGGTATTGCAAGATAGTAGCTAATTAACCAGCCTTTGGCCTTCAGTTTCCCCATCGGTTCATCAGAGCACGCCTTCAATTTCCTAATCAATCTCCCATATAATTCCCCTTAGCTTGTATGCCTATCATTAGTACTTCTTGTGTTGTGTTGTCTTCTTGCCTTCTTTGAGCTAGAGCTAGCTAGGTTTGTGACCTGCTGTACGTGCGTGTGTTAATTAGATAGATGTCTTAGATCTGGGAGAGAGCGAGGAGATGGGGAGGGGGAAGATAGTGATAAGGAGGATAGACAACTCGACGAGCAGGCAGGTGACGTTCTCGAAGCGTCGGAACGGGCTTCTGAAGAAGGCGAAGGAGCTATCCATCCTCTGCGATGCGGAGGTCGGCCTTGTCGTCTTCTCCAGCACCGGCAGGCTCTATGAGTTCTCCAGCACCAAGTAAGCAATCCATCGGATTTATAAGTATATATGTATATTTCCCCTAATTTAATTGTAGTTTCCTTAGTTGTTCTCGGATCTGCTTTGAAGTCTCCTTTTGTTCTTGATTTATTTTTGAAAGAACTCTCCTTGTTCTTTCACTTGATAGGTATATATATCTGGTTCTGGTAATCTTTCATCCTTTTAAGTTTGAGACGTTTTTATCAACAAAATGACCCAAGTATATGTCTGATCAGCTTTTCATCCTTTCAAGTTTTGAGGCATTTTTATCAACACAAAGACCCAAGCTAAGCATATATGTATGCATGGCTATTAGTCATTCTTGTGATCTTTTAGTAAGCTATAGCTACATAGCAATCAATATGTATGCATATAGTGTCAGTTTAATTGTGATATTTTCCCTCCGTTCTCGAAAACAATTGACACTTGGCACTACTAAGTTTTGATCACTCCTTTTCTTTCAAAAAATTTATAAACACTTAAAATATGTTATATTATTAAAGTATGTAGCGTAGAAAATATAACCATACAACTTCCATTCATCATCATATAATTATTTAAAAGTAATTTGTGATCAAAGTAACAGCCGTAGTACTCAACCGTGTCAACCAAGTCAGTTATTCAAGAACTGAGGGAGTAAATATTGAATGCAAAATTAATATGAAAATTTTTTCTTCTGCTATATATCCTTTTTCAGCGTACGTATGTTCACTCTTCTGAATTGATTACAACTTAGAAACTCAAGGTGGATATATAGCGAAGAAATATTAACATGTTAACGTTTAATAAAATTAGATGAATTTGTTCTCTTTTTTTTTGTTTCAAGTGATGTTGATTTGTACCAAAATCAGATGGCATGTGTCACGGTCAAACTTATTAATTAAAGAGATTTAGCATGCAATCTTGACAATCAAATCTTTACAGAGAATGGCATTTCTATATATGAAGCCTTACATGCATGTGCATAAATATTTTTTTGGAGCTAGAGTGTGGTAGCTTTACGTGCCACTGCATCAAAGACAGATAGATATTTCCAGATTTTTAAATATCTATTTATCTGTGTGTTTTGTCTAAGTAAATTGAAGGTTTTTTAATATAAGCTGTATGTTTTAGCTAAAAATGAAACAACTGACTCAACCATTTGGCTTTACTTGCATGCTAGCATGAAAACTGTGATAGACCGGTATACCAACGCAAAGGAGGAGCTACTTGGCGGGAATGCAACTTCAGAAATTAAGGTATGGTTAAGAAGATAAGCTATCTTGTTAATTGTTACTATACGAGAACACGCATGTGATCTTGATCTGACGACCAATGACAGCTTTTAGTCTCTTTAAGATTGATTTTATAAATAAGATGCTGATTGGCCAACTAGTTAAAGTGCTGAATGCACTGTGTTCTCATGCATGCATGCAGCTGGGCATGGTGCACTGCTCACGCTGAAGAATATAGTGAGAAATTATTTCTGAACCCCTCTGGCTGATGCAGGCATGCAGCAGGGGTTGTTACTGAATTACATATACATTGTTTACTGTATATATAGACGCAAACCTTTTTATAAAAAAAATTCATGAGAATTTTAGATGTTATCATTTCTAGGAGTTTTTTTTTTCTATATAGTCCTTTTTAAATCAAAATAATGAATTATATGAAATCTTACAAAATTCCTATGGAATGTCTTTTTCTCGTATAAGTTTTGGAGGAATTCTTGTGTTTTTCCAATGGCATAATCAAACGGTCATTTATATATTTTTTTCATGTGTTTTGTAATCATCTGTTTTACACTTAGACTTGCATTTCTGTGATTCAAAGCGCCCTCAACATTTTCCTATCTTCTCCTTCCAGATGCCATATATAAAAAACTGATGCGTGTTGTGCCTAATGCTGATAGTACCAACTCCTATAACTGGAGAACTCCAGCAAACTCCCCTCAAAGGAGCTGAATATGCGCACAATATATGCGCACAATCCGATAGTACAGAATCTTCTGAACTTGAGGTTGGCAAGAGCTGCAAGCCACGCATGGGCCAAAGGGGGCAGATTGCTGCAGGTTCCTAGATTAGGACACTGGGCCCAACCATAATCTAACTAAGCCCCTGCAAACTCCTCAATTATCAAGCGTGTTCTGGAGCAGGAAGAAGCACTAGTCGATCTCCCTCGGTTAATGCATCAACAGTAATGCATAGGACGAAAGTAACCGAGCAATTCGTAATCTCAACATAAGCAAAAACAAGCATACTTTAAACAAGATAAAACAGTGTACAATACAAGAGCTTGCAGAGTATTGTATAGGCAGGAGAAGCATTTGATGGTAGTGCAATATAATGCTGTACAAGTTGCTTGAAAATAACATGCTCAAGTCTTAATTTCTCAGTAATTAACTTTCTTCATAGTGGCCACACTGGTACTCACTCCCGTTACTCCACTACTTAGCTTCTCACGTTTTCATGAACCACACACTTCATCAGCATCTGAGGGCATCAGGGCAGGCCATCCTCAAGTTTGCAAATGATGGAAAATCCATGCACATCCTGACATCGAACGTTCAGCCAAAGAAGCGTATGAAGATCATAAGGCGATTCGCGAAAAAAAAAAGGGGCAGATTATAGGTGCATACGTACCTTTTGGCACGATAAGGACTTCGCTGATTGCATTGGTCCAAGATACAGCGCAGTAATTTCGCTGCATCTTATGACAACCACAAACTCAGAAAACAACACCCAACACATACTGAACCTGTCTGAGTATCTAACATCCATATTTCAGAGGGGGGCAAACTTACTCGGTATATTTATGCATTATGTGGCAACTTGGAGGTTAAAAACAGTTGGAGACTCGAAAGGAAATCTAAAAACTGTTAGAAAATGGTTTTCTAAATAACAGATGCCAATAGCGTAAGCAGAATGGCTGTAAAGCAACAAAGCCAGAACAACAAGGATACATAGCAAACCAAGTGATATTAACAGTTAAAAGTACCGTTGTTGCTCAATTGACCAGTAAACTCGACAGACAATTGTAAACATAAAAAATATATACCTTAAGAAACAAACCGTCTACGCATAAAAATTTCACTGCTGCTGATGGTATGATATTCATGTTACTGAATCATGGGGGAATATGAAGTGATATTTTCAGGAGTACTAGCTTATGTACTCCTTTATGAATTTCATTTCCATGTCATCATTTATTTAATGTTTATTCTTTCTATATGTTAAGGAAAAGGTCAAAACAAGCATCCACACCTACATGGTCTCAAAGAACTGTAGTACATAGCATGCCCCCACAGAGATCCTTCTCTTTCCCTCTATTTTGGGTTCAAAAATGCCATCGCTCATGAAAAATACAAAAAGATACCAAGCACCAAAAAGGGATAAATCTGATTTGCCCTGAGTTTACATTGGAGACTGTACTCATCATTACTACAGTATAACTGTTATATCAACAAAATGGTTGAAAACAAAGTCCTGATTAAAGATACAATTATACATAAGTACCTCCTATGTCTATGCGTAAGTTTTGTGCCAACAAAGTGATCAGCAGTTATGCATTATGCACTCCAATGGCCAGTCCATAATACAGATCAGCAAGGTTATGTCTAGATTTTTTTTTTCCTTAGAACACAGGGAAGTTCAGTGTGCAAATTTTTCAGCTAGGAGTTTAGGACCAAAGGTTTAAAAGTCTAATGATGATGAAACAACCAAGCTACTGGAGCACTAGACAAAAACAAGTGTCAGCTGAATTGACAAGTTGGTCCAAATTAATCTAGAATAATAAGTACTGAAGACTGAACAACTATAACACTCTGATGCACTTGTGCTACGCATATCCCACATCTTGAGATATTGGAACTATGTGAATCAGATAGCATTTTACCTCATCTCAAATGCATATGTGATTGAGTTGTGTGTGATTTTTGGCAACATACTGCGTTTCTAGATTAATCATATGTATATAGTTCAAGGAAACTGACATGATTTTCTTTTTTTGCTGATAGATTTGGCAGAGGGAGGCAGCAAGCTTGAGGCAGCAACTGCACAACTTGCAAGAAAGCCACAAGTAATCATCTAATGATTCTGCAATGGAAATTGATCATACATTAATATAAAATTCATCAAGAAAGTAGTTTATCAACAATTTAAATGCCACATGGAATTGTATAAGAACCACCAAAAGATGCTTAAATACTTGAAGGAAAACTTTAGGAATATAATCAGAATATTCACTGTCAGATTTATCAAGAAAGTAGTTTATCAACAATTTAAATGTCACATGGAATTGTATAAGAACCACCAAAAGATGCTTAAATACTTGAAGGAAAATTTTAGGAATATAATTAGAATATTCACTGTCAGATTTATTTTAATAGTATTCCTAAGTTTCTTTAACAAATAAGTTTGGCCTGTCTCAAACCATGTCGACAGAAGAGAGCTGTAGTGGCATATAGATTGGGACTTCTTGAACTGCTGAGATTACTCTTTTGCATGGTTGTAGGCAACTGATGGGTGAGGAGCTTTCTGGCCTAGGTGTTAGAGACCTACAAGGTTTAGAGAATAGGCTTGAAATAAGTCTACGTAATATCAGAATGAGAAAGGTTATATTCCTTGTGCTCTTCAATATCCGTATTTTTGCTTTTGATTTGCTATAGGCTAATGATGATACAGTAAACACCTATCAAACAGGACAATCTTTTGAAAAGTGAAATCGAGGAGTTACATGTGAAGGTTTACCCCTTGCACTTAATGTCATTTCATTATTTCAATGCAAAAGAACATGCATGGAATATTGTGAATTTTGTGTACTAAATATTAACTTTACTTCAGGGAAGCCTAATTCACCAGGAAAACATCGAACTTTCTAGAAGCCTAAATGTCATGTCGCAACAAAAATTGGAACTGTATAACAAGGTTCGATGCAAAATTCTCTTAGAAACTTGTGACTACATGTTAACACATTATCCCAAGCAACTAAAGGAACAACTTGATTTCAGCTTCAGGCCTGTGAACAGAGAGGTGCCACAGATGCAAATGAAAGTTCCAGCACTCCATACAGCTTTCGTATCATACAAAATGCTAATATGCCTCCTAGTCTTGAATTGAGCCAATCACAGCAAAGAGAAGGGGAGTGCAGCAAAACAGCTGCTCCAGAACTGGGGTAAGTATTTCTTATCTAGAATACATAAATTGCATTACTCAAAGAAGGGGAAGCTCAATCAAGCACGTATGTTTTCATATGTAGCAGACTTCATCTGCCTTAAGACTATGCCGTACAAGCTGGACGATAAGTGATCAATTTCAAACAAGCACAAAGCCTTTCAGATGCAAGTAGTATTTTTGTGATAGCTGAGACAATAAAAAAGTGTACAGACTACAGACTGGACAGATTATGTTGTCGGATGCTCATGTAATGACTGTGGTGTAATAAGAAATACGTAGTATAAGTTTGTAACCCTGCTTACTCTCTATTGCTTTCTAGAAAAGCTCAACCAAAACTCTGAAAAGTCTTTGGACTGAAAAGGTTGTAACAATGTTTACCAGGAAGGTGCTTTGGTGATGAAAAAAGAGTTGTCACTATGCCTAAGAAGGAAGGGGTGTGAGCTACTGGCGAAAACTGTTATGTATTGCACATGGTGAATAATGGCTGTTGAACATGTCTACTCAGACTTAACAGTCAGCCCTTACTCATGGCTGTTCAAGTGGTGTTACAGATGAAGGTGCATCCAACCCAATTCAAAGCAGCAACACTCATACTGGTGCTGCAAATACCGTGTATGCTAGAGAGAGGTGGTTGGATAGAAGGCCCATGTATCATGTCATGTCATTGATTCACAATTTCACGTGTCGCAACATTTATTATTAGTAGTATTCTACTGCAAGTCTGCAACTAAGAAATAAATCTTCTGTTAAACATGAACGGCTCCTGATGCAATACACTGGAGTTAACCACTAAAATCTCAGCAATTGAAAGTTCCACTTAGAAAAGCCCATACCACATTAAAATGGTAATGCCTGTATTTAATTGATTTTGAATTAAAAGTGGTGCTATCAACTTTGAGTTCCAAAACTAATTATTTCCAAAGAAAAAGGTAATTCAATAATTACCATCACTTGGTATAGATTGGTCTTCTGTGACAACCACGGAAGAATTACACAATACATATAAGAATGAGCTACATGAGTTTACTGTCTTACTTGTGAGAGGTCTTACTTGTGCCTTTCTTGCAAGTAATGCAGTTGTTGCCTCATGCTTGGTGCCACCATGTGCAATAACTAGTCAAGCAAAATATAAAAAAATATATATATTTGAGAAATGCACATTGAGTGACCTACAAAGCAATAAGCACAGAATATAGCGTAGCTGCTACTTGAAAATTGAATCAGTCATAAACAAATAATTGCCTATGCTCGAATGGATTCTAGAATGTCGATAAACGGCACAATGCTAAATACTTTAATGGGTCATCAGCATGAGGCAAATTCAGCTAACAAAATGGAGCATGCAAACTGGCCAATCTCAGTTAGTTTATTTCTTTTCCCAGAATACAATACTGGATCAAATCAGATATTTGAGTACGAACTATGATTCCGAAACAGATATCTGCAGTGCGGACTTACAGTTTGTAAGATCTGAAGGAATCTAGCAAATCATCTACAAATGTCGTTAGAAACAACCCGAGGTTTCCAACCCCTTGAAGCCCGGAATCCCCCCTACTCCCCCATGATAATCCAAACGCGAAACCCTAGAAAACCAGACCCCCAGATCTCCCAACGAGCTCATGATCACCGTAACGCAAACCACGCCACACACGAAATCCAAACAAACGAAACCGAGATCTAGCTGCAGCAGAAGAAGCAGAATGGGGGGTCTAGAAACTTCTCTCCGTACCTCGAATCCGCCGCGGGTTCCAGCCATGGTGCGGCAAGGGTGTGGGCGACTGCGACTGCGACCGCGAGCGATGAAGCGACGGGTGGGAGGCCGGCGCACTTTAAAACGGGGGCGGAGAAGGGTCTAGAAGGATCGAATCGATGTTTCCAGAATTCCAAGTGGGGGGTAGAAAAGGCAGGAAAATTGGCGCAGTGGAGTTCGGCTTTTTTGGCGAAGGGGACGAGAGGAGGGAGGGAACGGAGCGCGGCGAAAGGGATTAGGAGGGGAAGATTTGGGTTAAGCGGGGATTAGTTTAATTACGTCGCGGGGAGAGGGTTGTGGCCGCGCAGGCGGCCACGTCGGCCCGGGCGGATTTTAAATGGAACAGGTGTCGGATGCGTAGCGTGGAAAGAGAGATCTGTGCTCGTTAATCAATTCGGGTGTAACTTTTGTAATGTTGTCCTGGTGAAGGGGACTCTGAACTGATGAGGGGAATAGAAAGTTCCAGAACATCTAAGAATGCGTGTAAAAAACAATGGATTCTACTCTCGAAAGTTCGAGAACATATGGACATGAAATAATGTGGAATGACGAATCGTCGAATAAACTTGCCGCACTCGGGTTTAGTCGAATCAGCTGCTCCAATAACAAGGCCCGTTTAACTTGGTAAAATGAAAATTTTTTGGTGTCACATCGGACATTTGATCGGATGTTGGAAGTGATTTTTGGACACGAATGAAAAAACTAATTTCATAACTCGCTTGGAAACTGTTAAACAAATCTTTTGAGCCTAATTAAACCGTCATTAGCACATGTGAATTACTGTAGCACTTTATAGCTAATCATGGACTAATTAGGCTCAAAAGATTCATCTCGTGATTTACATGCAAACTGTGCATTAGTTTTTCTTTTTATATATATTTAATGCTCTATACATGTGTCAAAGATTCGATGTGATGTTTTTGCGAAAAGTTTTTGGGGAACTAAACAGGGCCGCAATGCGTCGTTTGGCTGTGGAACCTGAAAAAAATGCCCGTGTGTTGCAATGAGTGAAAGCTATTTTAATTTTATTATTGCTATACGGTTTAGCTAAAATGAAATTTACCATGTGAATTCACTTTTATATATATATATATATAGGACACTCATATGGGGCACCATGGTGCCCAGGTATATATATATATATATATATATATATATATATATATATATATATATATATATATATTCATGAGCTGCAGTCAGGAGTTCGATCGTCTCGAGTTAGCATGAAAGTTTTTTTATAGAGATTTATTATACGAGTTCTTCTGTATTTCTAAAAGCGGACGAACTTAAAAACCGACTGAAAATACGGATATATATTTCCTAAAGGGAACGAAATTAAAAACCGACTCATATACAGTTTTTATAACGGTAGAGAAGAAAAGGATTAAGTACCGCAGTTTCGTGGACTGGAGTTCGCCGTGAATGCCAGGCCGCAGTTGACGAGAATTTATTCGTGGACTTTGAGCCTCTGACTAGAACAAAGCCCAAAAGGGCCCATAATTCACAGTTTATACGGGCCATCGACGGACGCCATCATAGACAAGCGGACCCAAAGTAGTCATTTGAAGTTGTCCCGTTTAAATCTAGCCCATGTCCGACTTAAGCTGAGCTGCCAAGTGCAAAGGACTGAAGATTAGTCCTCCACTCACTCCCATACTGACGGTGGAGATAGCGATATAGGATCGATATTCATGTTAGATGGAGTATAGGTCATATAACCACACGACGATATCTGTTACCACCCGCACTGACCTAAGATCTTTATGTTTTTTTAATAATGGATTTAAATAAAACCCGGCCTCTACATCTCAAGAGATGTACACAGCCACATCTAACATCTTTATGTGTGGACATATCTACCACGATGCATGCGACAATCATGTTGTAAGATGATTTGATTTCTTTTTCTAATTATTTTTTAAGTTTAGTTAAGTTTATGAAAAAGTCAATAGCATCTACAACTGCAAATTAGATTCATTAAATCTAATAGTATTGGGTATGTTCGGTAGCCTGTTTTCGCAGCTGTTTGGGTTGTGCTGCATAGCCTAGCCGTTCGGTTGCAGTGGTCTGTCTGTGCTGCACAGCCCAGCTGCTGGGCTGTGGAAACGGCTGCAGCCCACTCCACTATAAGCATGTAACGATGGAGAGAAAAGGTTAGTTTCTGGCAAAAAAAAATATGACACCCCTCTTCTAGTTCACATCTCCCATCGCATCGCCCACACTACACCCTCCCTCCCACTTTTGAATGTGAACAAATTTAGCATTTTGCAGGCAACCGTTTTTGTCTAGTTGCAGCTAGAACAACTGTTGGCTGGCTGCTGTAGCCACTATAGCTGTTACGCTGCAGCAGTCAGTGCCACCGAACAGGCCGATTGAGTATACGTTGGATAGTATATCTGTTTTGTGTAAAAAAATGTTATTAAGTTCTTTTATAAACTTATTTGAATTAAAGAAATTTGATTTTAGAAAAGTTAAAATATCTTATAATATAAAATGGAGTGAGTCCCAACCCAATTACTAATTTAAGTACCCCCAATAATTTGTCACGATATCCGTAGTTTAGTTGACCTGCAGTCTACACTACAGACGTGAAACGTTGGACGACACAGCTCAATCTGTTCGCCTCCCAATATCATGGGAGACAACCAAGGTCCGTCCAATTAAGACGAATCATTTGTCCTTAAAAACGGCCACGACTACGAGGATCGCGGGTCAGATAAGATCATGGATCTCAACCACGCACAAACAGCCAAACAGGTGCCATCTTGAGGGTTTCCATGAACTATGTCGGCGTCCAAGCACGCGGCTCGTAAAGCGTAAAATATGATCAAAGACATAATTGGGGGATTACAGTAAGTTACGGGGCACTAACCTGAGATTATTTCTGTGTGGACGCATCTACTACGCGTCTTCAACAAAAAGGAGTAACTGCTGCAACTGGGGAGAAACAAAATGATAACTCTTCGCGTCCACGACAAGTATACTCCAAAGATCGGTTTCCTGCTCTGCAACGAAATGAGAAAGCTGCATCTGCACGAGAGAATTTTTGCACTGCAACATTTTAGGGCAGATCATTTGTCTTTACGATAAGCAAGATCGAGTAGCTCTCTAGAATCGCCGCGGAAAGTGAGCAAAAATCACATCCAATCAAGCAAAGCAGATGTGCAAAGCATCCGTGTGTGGGGAAGAAGCCAACAAGAGGCCTCAGGAGAGCAGAGCGCCCAATAAACTTGTGCATTTTTCTCTGCCCCCTGCCTCCTCCTAGGCGATCTCACATTTTTTGTTGCGTTTCTCCGCCCTTCGGCCACACCGGCCGGCTGGTTTACATTAGCTTACTAATCAAAGCGCGAGACCCTAGCTGCTGCCAATGCCGGGGAACCCCGGTCTCACGCGCACCCACCCCCACTCGCGCGCGCTCCCATGACAAATTAATCCGGCTGCACGTCACGAGCTCGCGCTATAAAACGCCACGCCGTGGAGGTCAGCTAGCGCAACTGAGCAGCTAGCTCGATCCAGTGTTCAAGGTTCAGCCGAGTTCGATCGAAAAACCACCGTGCGTGTTTGTTCGATCGATCGATGGCGGCTCGGGGAAGAGGCAGTGCATGCAACGGGGCAGCCGTTCTTGGCGCGGCGGCGGCGGTGGTGATCGTCGGGTTCCTCGTGATGAGCGCCGCGCCGCTCGCCGAGGCGGCCAGGTACACCGTTGGCGACAGCAGCGGGTGGAGGTTCTACGCCGAGGGCTGGGCCAAGGGCAAGACCTTCCGCGCCGGTGACGTGCTCGGTAATATGCCCGCGGCCGCGCGCTCTGCATCTGTTCTAATCTGCGTGCTGGTCTGGTCTATCAGTATTGATCAATTTATGTATGCATGTATGTGGCATTGTGGGTGGCCTGCAGAGTTCAAGTACAACGCGGTGGTGCACGACGTGGCGGCCGTGGACCTGGCGGCGTACCGGAGCTGCACGGTGCCGAAGGGCGTCAGGAAGATGCGGAGCGGGCGCGACAAGGTGACGCTCCGCAAGGGCACGCACTACTTCATCTGCACCGAGCCGGGGCACTGCAAGGCCGGCATGAAGCTCGCCGTCAGGGCCATCTAGCTAGCCTATTCTGTTGGCTCGCAAAAGAAAATGGTCAGTCTGAGCTAGTCCGCCCTGTTCGATTGCTCGTTAGTCTTTTCTCAATGCGTAGCCATGTGTGTGACTGTATCGGTTAGTACTCCTACTACGTTTCATGGTCAGTTTGCCGGCGTTGTCGTGGTCATGTTTAATTAGTTAGTTTGGTCTGGTTGTGATCTTTTCGTGCTCTGCAAACCGTGATAAGTATCCATCTTAATCGCAAAGGTCATGATACCAAATTCTCCTGGTTAATCCAGATTTAGATTTGTTTGAATCGGATTTTTTTTTTGACGGAGAATCGGATATTTTCCCAGGGGATGATATGTTTTTTGTTCCTGCAAGGTTCCAAGTGTTCCACACGTGGTGTCAAATTCACTATAGGAGAGAATGAAAATTGTAGTACTACGATCCTGCTATCAGATAGTGTTTGTCGAGACTTCATGTGGTAAGGGCCCCTTTAATTCGTAGGATAGGAAAAACATAGAAATAGGAAAAACGCAGGAATTGAAGTAGTAGGTTTCTTAAATCCTATAGAAATCAGCAAACACATGAAAGACAATAGGAGTCCTTTGATAGTGCTATGGGAAAAACAAAGGAAAGTTTACAAAGAGGTCACACCTCTTGCTATTTTTCCTATGAAATGTGAAGCATAAGAATACAATTGTATGGAAAGTTTCATTTCTTTCCTATGAATCAAAGGGACATGTAGTAAAAAATCCATAGAAATTTAAATACTATAAAAATTCTTTGTCAATCCTATGAATTAAAGGGGCCCTAGAAGATGAAAGAGATCCTATTCTGACAACCAGTAAGCCAGTAACTGAACTACAAACACAGTGAACCCCCCCCCAAAAAAAAAAGAAAAAGAAAAAAGAAACAGATTGTCATGGACGATGGTCATGCACCCGCGACTATGGCTGGCTTCTTGTTCGTGTAGAGTTCTTCACGAGGAATCTCGTCGCAGCGCAGCTCCTCGTCGTCGTCGCAGTTCCTGCGGCTCAGGCCAAGCGTCATGCTGCTACCCAGAGAGCCGGTGTGGAGCAGAATCAGATACAGCAGCTGCGTCAGCGTCAAGATCGCGATGAACGCCTCCAACGTCCTCTGCTCGCAAAGACATGCCCATAAAACGTTCGTAATCGAAATGACAGGAACAAAAGAAAGAAACGGCACGTAACAGATGCGAGCGAGGAGTGGTGCACTGTACGTACCAGCCGCCTTCCTCGGTTCCCTAGAGTGATGTGCTTGCACGCGAGGCTGCGAATGGTAAGAACAGAGAAGCACCATATGAGATTACGGATCAAATCTCCAGCCAAGTGTGGTTGGATTGTAGTAGTGTGTAAGGCTGTAAGCTGCCGGAGTGAGCGCGCAGAGAGCGGTTAACCCGAAGGAGAGGGCGGTGAGCGCCCAGGAGACGAGTCCGGTGGACGCCGCCGCAGCCAGGGTCTCGCCGCGCCACGCCCTGACATGGAGCAGCCTGGGGAGCACCGAGCACACGCCGACCACCCCGGCCATCAGCGAGAAGACTAGCAGGTACCCCGACGACGTGTTCCCTCCAAGATCTGCAGGTAGATGCACAAGCACAGGGCGATCGCGTCAACGCGCGGCGCTCCGGGCGGCCGGGCGGCGCCACCGCCAGGACGCCACCAGATGTCACGATCGATAATACGTGGTGGCTGTTTGGTACGTACGGTGGTGCGTCTCGCCGTCGATGAACTTGTTGAGAGACCACCCGGCGAGGCCCAGGACGGCGGCGTGCATGACGAGGTTGACGCACAGGAGTGGCCCGATGTACCGCCGGCACGCCGTGCCAGCCGCCATCGATCGCTCGATCTCTCGTTCCCTCTCCTCGTCCACGAAGCACACAGCAAACCGACCCGCAGTGGCACGCGCGATGGATAAATCGAGACTGGCCGTATGTAATCTGGTCGCTATGTAGTACTCCTACGTACTATGCGAGGATGATGTACCAATGCTATCGCAACATGCGAGGAAGGGTGGCAGTTTCAACAGCAACGGCAGCGTTGTTGTACACGCCAAGCTACGGAGGGGGCCCGTCTCGCCGTGGGCCGTGTGGCGGCGCACGCAGGACAGCGAGAAAGGCCGCGTCGACACGCAAAGGCGTACGTTAGATCGACGAGAGGCAGTTATCAAAGCGACACGAGACCGGGTGTTTTAGATTAAAAAAAATGGTCAAAAATGTCACATCAAACGTTTGGACATATGTATAAAGTATTAAATGTGGATGAAAAAAAACCAATTGCACAGTTTACATGTAAATTATGAGTCGAATCTTTTAAGTCTAATTGCGCCATAATTTGACAATGTGATACTACAGTAAATATTTGTAATGACGGATTAATTAGGCTTGATAATTTCGTCTCGCAGTTTACACGCGGAATATGTAATTTGTTTAGTTATTAGTCTACGTCTAATACTTAAAAGAAAAATTAGGCAAAGAACTAAACATGGTACTTTTTTTTTGGACTGCGGCGAATTTAACCGATGACCCGTAAGGTAATAGAGTGGTCTGCTCTTAAAAAAAATAAAGTCCGAATCAGCCGTCCTCCCCCCGGGCGCACTGTCCCCGGCCGTTGCGCAGCAGCCATAGCCCCAAGTGCCTCTCCATTTCTCTACTCCCCAACTCCTCCATATCCTCTCTGCCCCTGAGCAGGTTCACAGTTCCGACGAAAAGCGGTTGAATTCCACGAAATTTTGACGTTTCAACACGGCTCGGTATTAAGTTTCGATTGGAATTTCGAAGGTTAAACAATAGATTTGGTCGAAATTTATCGAAAACCGTGATACCGATGGAGCTCGAAATTTAGTGGTCAACAGTTAATGTAAACCCTGACCCTAAGTGTTAGGGGTTGTTTCGGGGAAGCTCAAGATTCTGAGAAGCAACTAGTTGGTACATAACTTCTAGGAATATGGAAAAGTTGAGTTTCCCAGTTTCTGGCTTATAGTTTATTTTTTAGATTCTACCACTATAACTTTTTAAATCTGGAAAAAAAAACGGATTATTTGGGGGGTTCTGATTCAGTGAGAAGCTGCAGCAGTTAGAAGATCTCTCAAATAGACACTTTTAGATTTGGGTGAGACCACCATAGAAAGAGGGAAGTATTTGTCACGTTAGTTTTCAGAAGAATATTCATTTTATTCATATAATAAATAGATAATCCGTGGGTGATCATAAATACTTAAGTTTCTTCAAATAGAAATGCCAACTAGAGCTGCAAATTTCTAATCAATTTCAAGGACAGTTTGCCCATGTCGAACTCATGCGACTTTGATAATCACAACATCGTATAGTAAGATTGTCCAATAATCCAAGTACTTGAAAGGGAGGAATGGATTATAATTCTCAAGGGAACGTCCCTCGTTTACATTTTTCTTTTAGATCCAATGTAAAACAGTTATGTAAAATTCTGATAAAAAAAGTTTGTTCATGTAAAGTATGTTGACGTCTATCAGCATACACACAGAGGAATAAAAAAAAAGATAATTTAGCGCATGAATATTTTTACTAGTAAATAAAAAAATGGTTAACCTGAAACGGGCTGGGGACGTTGAACGATGGAATTGGCCAAGCCAAAGCTCTTTTTGAGCAAAAATCGTCAATTATCAGCCACCAAACCGACACGAGGCTCGTAGGAGGTCCTCCTGGGAAGCCAGGGGCGCAGATTTTTCAGATAGGGGACGAACCAATCACTGCCCACCATCTTGCCACGTGGCCGATCACTACACAGATCATCACAAAGAGGCTCAGCGCGAGCGCTACTGTACTTTACTGTTCCTGAACGGGACGATAGCCGCGTAGCCAAGGAAAAGAAAGCAGAGGCCAGGGAAGAGCCAGGTAGAGCCGAAGAGGGTCCACGACTGACATGGCCGCCACGGCGTGCTCCACGGCGCCTCTTCTCGGTGGAGCTCGCCTCCCCGCCGTCGGCGCCGCCTTGCCGCCGCCCTCCGTTCTCCTCCTCCCCCAGCGCAACTTCCCCTCTCCTCTCCGCCTCCATGACGCACCGAGGCTATCTCTGCTCCGGGCGAGGGCGTCGTCCGACGACACCTCGTCCTCCGCCGCGACCGGCGACGAGCTCATCGAAGACCTGAAAGCTAAGGTACGTGACCGATGCATGAAGTATTGAACAGAAGTTAATTAGCTCATGAGTTTTATGTAACTGTGTCTGTGTGTTTTTACCTGTGGCAGTGGGACGCCGTTGAGAACAAGTCCACCGTCCTCACGTACGCCGGCGGCGCCATCATCGCCCTCTGGCTGTCGTCCGTCATCGTCGGCGCCGTCAACTCCGTGCCTCTGGTTCGTTTACATTATATTGCTCCTGTTAATTTCGTATCAGTACTAGTAGAACAGTGCAGCAAGTTCACGTGCATGTGGATATGCTACCTGCTACAGCTTCCCAAGTTCATGGAGCTCGTCGGGCTCGGGTACACAGGCTGGTTTGTGTACCGCTACCTCCTCTTCAAGGTATTCGATTACGCGCTAATTAAACCTGAATAAACTGAATAGTCGCATCTAGTAGTAATAGCTGTTGCAGCACTGCTGCTGACACGGCGATCTTGGATCCTATTCGATTACAGGAAAGCAGGAAGGAATTGGCCGACGACGTCGATTCTTTGAAGAAGAGGATTGCTGGGACAGAGTAAAAAATGCCGTCGTCTGCACCAATTTTTTGGAACGATTCTTTGGATCGCACATTGCAGAGACCAAAACCCGTTGTTTAGAGTACTAGTGTTTGGTACCGCGAAGCTTTGTTTTGTTCCTTTCCTTGATGGGCAATAACAGTGTCTTCACGTGTAGATCGAATTAATAATAATTACGAATTGCGTCTCGACTAATTAATAATAATTTGCCTTCACTTAACCAGCGAGAGCCAGCGGTCGCGCGGCAAATTGCGTCTCGACTAATTAATACTCCCAAAATGTTTGAAACCGTTAACTTTTTTAAACATATTTGACCGTTCGTTTTATTCAAAAACTTTTGTGATATGTGTGAAACTATATGTATACATAAAAGTATATTTAACAATAAATTAAATGATAGAAAAAGAATTAACAATTACTTAAATTTTTTGAATAAGACGAACGGTCAAACATTTTTTAAAAAGTCAACGGCGTCAAACATTTTGGGATGGATGTAGTAATAATTTGCCGCGCGACACCGAGCGTCTTGCGTTTTCATTGTGCGAGATCGTAATATCAACGGTATATTTGTGCAAATAAAATTATAACCCGAATATTTCTGAGAGAAAAAAATAAAAGGCATATTTTCAAAAAAATTTCACCAATATATCCAGGAGATATCGAGCACTGTTGCAAGTTGCAACGTGCAAATTCAAGCTACTACATCTGTTTTTGCTATCGTAACAACTCCTACCTTAGGCATAATCATTTTTGAAAGGGGATTAATTTATTCATGGGGCAATATAATCTTTCACGAAAATTGTTCATCATACATTGTACTTTATTCAATCCCCAGAAATTGATCTAAAGAAACTGGCCAACATGCTGTCGATCCTGCATGTTAGCGGACAATGCTTACAGCAGTGATTTTATGAATGTGATTATCATGAACACTTTTGATCGTCCCGGTAAGTTTTCAGATACTTGTCCAGTTATCTACATGCAAGAAAATAATTAAGTATGTACTGATTACTCAATGTACATGGGTGTGGCGCAGGCACAACCCAGTTTACATATACAAGTCATTTTGTTTCCTTTATGGAGTGTTTCTACAAAACCATGAACACCAATGTTTACACAAGTACAATCGCCTACTTTCTCTCCGGTCGATGGAACAGAGATAAAAGAGATCCAAAAGCACCGAGCCAAACACCAACAAAACCGAAAAAAAAAAGGAAGAGAAAAACTTTTGAATTGAACAACGTTATACTACTTGAATCGTGCAGCTTCGACAAATTTTGCGTGAACTTTTGTGCCAATCGAGTCCATGAGGCATACGATCGAACGCAGGCAAGTCTCGACACCGGACACGTACGCATGGTGCCGCGCGCCGGGCCGTGCGCGATCGTACGTCTAGGTGACGGCGCACGGGGCGGCGGCGGCGGAGGGGCGCTTGACGAACCGGCCCTTCATCCGCGGCCGTTTCTCGGCGTTCAGCTTCCGCACCTCGTACCGTATCTTCTTGGAGAACAGCCGCGTACGCCGCTTCTCCCTGTACCTCGTCACCCGCGCCTCCCGCCCCGGGCCGTCCATCCGCGGCCTCACCGTCATCATCCCCACCTCCGCGCCATGCCCGCCCCCTCCCGCAGCCCACAACCCCTGCACCAACACAGTTTTCGATTCAGTATGCATGTCGCATGCGCTAGCATGAGAGTATGGACGACACGGTATTGAAATTGCAAAAATCACGTACCGAGTAATGGTGGTCGTTGGGCCAGAAGTCGTCGAGCTGGCCGTGCGGCGGCCGGCCGTCGGTCCACGGCGAGTTGCCCCAGCTCTCGATGATCGCCTCGTAGTTGAGCCTGAGATCCAGGCTCCTGTGGAAGAACTGCGAATCGGCTGCGGCGCCGTTGCTCGCCGACGACTTCTGTTCGTCCGGCGAGGTGCAGTTGAAATCGATGTCCAGCACGTCGGCGGATTCGACGTCCTCCGGCTTCGGATGAGCGCGGCATGATGGGAGAGATACCCTGCTGTTGGAGGCAACACCGCCGTCGAGCTCCATCTTCACCCGGCCGGATTCTTCTACCGGCGGCGTTATTAGCCCTAGGGTCTCCATGTAGAACGAGTCCTGCAGCTCGTTGCTGTCGTCCAGGCCTTGTCCGAGTAGGGCTTCCATGTCGGCGGCGAACTCCCTCAGCTCGGCGTCCGTCGGTTCGAAGTTGACAAAGCTATCCGGGAGCTGCTGCACGGGCGACGACGCCGCAGCTGCCGGATACTTTGCGTCTTCCACGGCGCCGTCGGCGGCGTCCTCCTTGAAGCACGATGAGGATGCGGCCGCCGCGTCATCGATCGGGGGCGGCGAGCAGAACTCGGCGAGGGAGGGGTCAAAGACCGGAACGCGGTACAGCAACTGCCCCTCGAGCTCCTCGTGAGCTCCGTCTTCGTCGGCCTTCCGTTCGTCCGACGACTCCACCGCCATCTCCGGCACGACGAGCCGCCTCGAGAGCAGCTGCCCGACGCTCTTGACCTGCGGGCGCCGGGTGCGCGCCTTGCGCTTCGACCATGCCGGCGTGACGCCGCCCTCTCTCTTCGACGTCGTCGTCGTCGTCGTCCCCACCGCCGCCGCCGCCTCCTCCTCCACCGACGCCCGCGCCGTCAGCGGCGGGGGCGACGAGACGCGCAGGCGCAGGCGCTCGTGCCGCCTGGCGAGCGGGTTGGCCGAGTGCACCGACGTGTCGCACCCCTGGCACAGGAAGGCGTCATCCGCCGCGCAGTACCACCGCGCCCGCCGCCGCAGGCAGCTGTCGCACGCGCGCGCCGCCTTGCCGCCCACGGCCCCGGCCGCCTTCTCCGAGCTGCAGCTCATGCGTCACGACGAAACAAAAGAACAAACAGAAGAAATCTCCCAGCACAAAAGATGATTCCACAAAAAACCTCTAAAAATCTATGCAGCTCACTTGCACTCGATCTGTACAAAGTGTGTGTTAACCTATTGTACGAGTTGCGACGAGGGCATGGTATGATACGCCAAAAAATGACAAAAGTACCACCGGATAAGGGCCATACTTGAGAGATATGTCCAAGTGGAGTACTCTTTTCCGGAGGAATCCTAGCAGTGTAGTGTGCTTTGCACTTTTGGTGTTGTGATGGGGCCCAATTGCAGGTCTTATCTGGAACGTGATTGGTCTGGTCGTAAAGCCCCATCCGGTTCACTGCTCTGCGATTGGCTGCAGCGATTTTGGCGGGCCCACTGTAATGGTTTATGACACGTGGGTGGAACTCCTGCGGGATCCACAACCAGCATCGCGGTCTCACACTCTCACTGCGGGCGGCTCAAAAGTTGAACGGTAGATTTTAGAAAACCTCATATTATGGTTAAAATTATAGTAAAGCACATGTATTATGATATGTGATACTTAATTTTAAAACTAAATCTTAGAGTTGATTTTGATCTTTTCAATTATAGTTTTGCTTTTAAGTTGCTAAAAATGCACTAAAAAATTTCTCATAAATTATTTGCTTATCGTTAATAAGCGTAACGGCTCATAATTAGTAGGCAAAATGATGTAACTGAAGTTTTATGGTTTACAATTAATCAATAAGCTTTTGAAATGAAAACAATTTTTAATCATGTTTTTCACCTCAATGTTACAGTAAGCATATCGCATCATAGTGAGCCCCACCGATAAGCCTATGTTTCTTTCGAGGGGAGAGTATGATAATTCTGTAAAATGTCTGGAACATGTTTTCGTGACCGTAGGGAGTATTTAAACACGACACTCATGAACAATGATCAATTATTTTCCTTGCAGTTGTGCTATCCCTATCTTGTTGAAATGATCTCAAAAGTTGTATTGGAACTGGAGAAAGATGGTTAATCTAATCACACTTCAACAGTAATATGTATGCGTGTTACTATTTATAAGTTTTGTGTTAGCGAGATATAGTACCATGATTTGTCCTTTTCATGAGAATCTGCATATTCCTGGGTTGTGGAGATTTATATTCCAGTGAAAATACGATCCTCACTCAACAATTCATGACTTGTACCCTGTCTTGGGGCTTATGACTTTGCAAACGATGTAATGCTACACTCATCTTAAAGTATAACAACTTTTAGCTATGTATTTGAATAAGAATGTGTTCATATACATAGCTAGAAATTGTCATAATTTTAGATGGATATACTAGTATATATAAGTGACTGCACTTTTGTTTAAATAAAGGTCAGGATTCCCATTATTTTTTTTAAAAAAAATGACTTGTATGGTTAGCTAGATAGATAAGTTGTACCAAAACCATTGACTTATTTGCTCTAGTTATAATCTGCTACAAGCTAAAGAGATGAACTTGACTGATATCTAAAAAACAGGAAAAATATGGTTCTTGAGAAAGTACCTTGAGATATCTAATTTTTATATAAAAAATTTGATACCTCGAGACATTTTGTACGTGGAGGTACTAAACTTTACGCTAGAAAATATGTACCTCTTGGTACCTCCTTAAAAATGGTAAGTCTCCGGTATCTTACTTACCTTCCAGCATGCTGTTCCCACCATTCCTGATAAGGATTTCAGAAAATTGCAAAGCGGAGACTTGGTATCATTGAAAGATACTGCTTACATATTGATTCGCCTTTGGAGCATAGCAGAGAGGTCAGCATGAGGTTCAAAAAAGACTCGCACTACAGGCTCCGGGCGTATCTCTTATCCTGTTTGGATAATGCATTCACTCTCCATATACATATACGTAGTATGTCTCTGTATTGTTCCTTTTTTTTTCATGCCATTGGCTTGTCTCATTATCTGCATTTTGGAAGCCACACAGAGATACAGAAGAAGAATGCATGCATATGCACCTCATGTTTAGCTACTGTTCGCCGTCAGTCAGAAAATATCATATCAGTTTCAGACTTCAGAGACGAGGAAACGATAACATCAGTAGTATTATTCAGAGTATTATGTATACATATATTTGGTTCATGCAACATAAGGAAACCGGGTGAACTGTTAACTGAATCCACATTTATGGAGTCCCAAATCAACGCTCTAAACATTACTCACATTGACTATTGATAACTGATTAGTACTCTTGCTTGTGTCACATTCTTATCTTGTTTTCGACTTTCAGTGACAACTGACGAGCGAAAACACTGTGGATTTGTCCACTGGAAAACTACGAGAACTCGTCACACTTCACACCTTGCTTTTCCCATCAACTGGGGAAAAAATGTATACGCTCCTATGCTGTTCCGCCTGGAAACGAGCAAGTCGACTTTAACCCAGCCAGTTGCCATCCTACTCCATCCGTGGCTCCAAATATATCTCTGTCTAGAAGAAACTTTTGGGGCTAACGACATTCAGAAACATCGTTCATTAGTTTCAGAAAAGAAACATCATTCAAAGGGCAGCGTATAACAATTAACAACCTCCTGTTTGTACATGGATCTGCCATCGCCTATTTTTCTAGACGGTACGCGTACAAATCTTGGCGCAGAGCCGACAACCCGAGTGTCCATTTCTACTACTATTAACACGTCATAATCCCAATTTTCTCGGAGTTGGGGGAGGATAGTAGATGGGAAAGCCAAGCATAGAAAAGGTCTAATAGGATACCAATCCACACATGTCGCCGTTGATCCGACGGTTATGGATGGGAATGCTCTATTACAACGGACCAGAAGAGTCCGAACATATGCGGATCAAAGAAAAATGACTGGAAAAAACGAGGCCGTCGCCATGCTCCGGCCAGCGCGTACTGTCGCCAATTTCACCTTCATATCTTGGCTCCTTGTGCCGCCGGCCGCTGTACGTGTCGCCGTCGGAGTCATCGTCGTCTTAACCTGGATGCCATCCCGGTCATGCATACCACACAGACCGTAGCTAGCGAGCCGGATGTAAGCAACTCTCTTCTCAACGCATTGTTTTCTACTGCTGCGTACGCGGCAGGGGCTCCAGTGTCTATCCAATGGAGTCGCGTCCCTCTCAGCTGCGAGACATTTGTTACGGTCGCAAGAAGAAATTATCAGAACTTCGTATTCGTACTAGTATCTTCAAAGGGGCAGAGAAATGCGTATACTCCATCAGCACGTCCACCACAATGTCGGCCCATTTGCAGGTTAAATTCCTTACGGGATGGCCCAAAGTATACCGGCCCAACTTTTCACCTAACCATTGCATTTGCATATACTCCAGAATGATTATTTTTTTATATTTATATTTATCTTTTAAAAGTTTTAAAAAATAAATCACAGTTTTAAAGTTTTGCGAAAATATACTCCTCCCATCATACCATAGGGCGGGGCTATATAAATTGCCCTATCGTAAGACGGGCTATGTGATGTGGCACAAAGTGGAAGGCGCACACTGGCCTCTTCTCGCCTCCCCGTAGGCCGATTTAATTTGGTGACAATAGTAACAGTTTGGTGATACATGGAGCATGCCATGACAATTTTGCAGATGGCTCCCTCCCGGCGATAAATTTCCCTCCCCTAGGGAGGGCGATTTATCGCTAGGAGGGGGCACCTGCAAAACTGACATGGAATGCTCTCCCACGGGGTGCATCGTCAAATAGATTGCCGTACCGTAGGGCGATTTATATGTCTCAGCTTACGGTACGCTCGCCCTACGGTACGGCGGGAGGAGTATATTTATATAAAACTTTGAAATATAATTTTCTTTTTAAATCATTTTTTAAAAATAATATAAAATAATAAATCCCATTATGATAGTGACACACCCTAATATTTTCATAGTGCAAATAAAATACTAGTAATAATTAAAAGGGTTTAATATTGGAGATCTTTGAGCCTCCATCGTTTCGCCAACAGCTCATTATAACCATAATGCTTATTAATGATAAAAAATAATCCATATGTAAAACTTTTATACATGAACTTAGTGGGAAAATAAACTGTTACGATGATAAAAAAAATCAAAATCAATTATAAAAAATAAGTTTTAAAATTTAATTTTTAGTTAGGACTGATAAGCTGAAGAGAAAATGATAAACGAGTGTCTAATATACCTTTTTCAGTTATCGTTGAGCTGTCAAGGTAAGGTCATCCATTATCTTTTTTACACTATCTACAATTATACTTCGAGTTTAAACTTATACTACATTTTTAAAGTGGTATATCACGTATTGGTATATCCTACTAAAATTTTCTCTTTAGGTGACACGAAGGAAACAGGGAGATGTTCCCTTGATGAAAAACAACACCTCTACATTCCGTTCCATCAAACCCACTGCCCACTGCCCACCTTATGAATGTGCTCAATGGCTGAGCTTATTAGTGTGGCTCGCGAAATAAGGTACTAGGTTGTTAGCATATGCTTTGTTAAGTATTAATTACTCCTTTAATACTCCTTCCATTTTGATATATATAAGTATTTCTAGATTCATTAATAAAGATTAAGGTATTAATTACTCCTTTTATTTTGTCATAAAAGTATTTCTAGATTCATTAATAAAGATTAAGGTTGAGAACAAAATATTTTAGTACACCTCGGTAAATAAGGGATGTATGGAGGTGAGAGAATATGTGGGGGTAAGATGAGAGTAATTTTGAGCGAGAGATGATTGATGAGATAAGTATACTGTAAATAATGCTAGAAATCACTATTTGTCGAAACAAGATTTCGGCAATAATAAAAGGGGGTGGCTATCAAACTAGGAAAGTGGATGGGTTTGGAGACAAGGAATTTTATACAGGTTCAGGCCTTCTTATTCAAGAAGTAATACCCTACTTCTGTCCGGGGATGATTCCGCCGAGTGTGTTATTGATTGTATGATTGGAAGAAAAAGAATCGCCCCGAGAGGAACCCGGACCCCTCCTTATATAGGGGAAGGGATCCGTAATACAAAGTACAGTCCATATTCTAATAGAATATCAATATTTGGTACCGTATATTCTATCTATATTTGGTACCGTATATCCAGCTGGAATATAACCGTCATGTAGATATGGGGTAACCATAATCTCCACGTAGCCCCCGAGACCTTCGCAGTTGACCAAAATAGTCTTCTCGAAACAAAAAACAATAATCCGAGTGCTTCAATTCAACTTGCTCCGGCTTGCCGAGTGCTAAAAGACTGCGAAGGGCGAAAATAAA